CCCCCCCCACCCGTTTTCTCTCATCCTTTTCTGCGCACAAGCTGGCCAACTGACGACCGCATAATCGGACGAAAGTTCAAAAAGAGGATGTCTCCGCTAGATCTCGTAGACAGCCTAATGAGAGTACATCTTGCTCTGTTCTTTGTAAAGAGACCCTAATAATGTCCTTAACTTCAAGAAAATGTAATAAATGAGTATATGGAGTCATTGCATGATTGTATGACTGTTCAATTTCCCGCTTTTTGTAGTCTGCGTACTGCCTGGAATTTTCTACGTTTTGAATGAATTTGAATCGTGATAACTGTTTCATGCATTGCCCAAATTCAATTATTTAGATGGTGAATGTAATAGTTTTTACAACTCTTTTTGATCGAATAATAGCCTACACTTTCAAACGCTTTGACATTGTATTATAATGCTGAATCTTAATATCGTCTTTCACACATGGCGTCACGCGACCTAAATGTGGCCGTGCAGTGAGTGGAAACCCCGGATGTACGTACGTACTAGGTCAAGTAGGTTTTGAAGGTGGTGAACCTAAAGTTTACTTTTACCAAAATGTCATTTCCTTGTAGGTTGTTGGTTTTGGCTTCTTATTTTTCGTATGTGACAGATTTAAGGCAAACCATCCCCATTTTCTAGAGTCAAATACAAACTCATGTTCTGCATACTACATACATCAGCACGTGAATCGCTTCTGGTTCTCTTTTTGTAACCTGACACAGTGTCCATGTTACCTCCCGCTTCAGCTTCAGAGATAGGGCAAAAGTAAATTTGGACCCCTTATTCTTAAAAGCGTTGTTTCGCATGATGTCATGGAAACCCAAACATAAGACAAGGAATATGTCTAATTATTATCTCATTGATGTAACCCGACTGAGAGTGAGTCTCCAAATGTGCGCAATAGGTCAAGTAAGTTTTAAATTGGGGCCCTTTTAAAAAAAATCCAACGATCTTCTCTTTACACTTTTAACAGCACTTTTCTTTGCCTTTAGTCTGTACTCACACAGCTCTAAACGAGGAGTCTTCTTTCACTGAGACAGTGTTGGTTACATTGCCAGCATGTAGTAAAAGACCTGAACTAAATCTACATATTATGTACATTATGTATAATGCTGCTTCTGGGTATACTTCAAGTTCAAACACCATGTTATATGTGTTGTAGCAATTTGGATTTTGTTTTAGGTTTTCCTCTCAGGTTTAATTCCAAACCTGATTTTCATTCCTTCCCCTTTGTCCTTCAGTGTTCACAATGTGTTTTGTCAGGTTCGCCATTTGCACCAGAAGTGCAAAGGCTTTAGATCTCTATAAGATGTCTGTTTTTGTAAGTGGTAGATCTTATACTTAAACGCTTGGAAGAGACACTCGTGTGAAGTCAAATACAGTTGAAATTATGTAAAACATTTTTATCGAAAATAGGAAAGTATTTCTGGTAGAGTCTACGGTCTAGCATGCTCATAGAGAAATCGTCGAGAAGCAGAGATTTTTTCGTCATGTACGAATTTTACTATTGATGAGCTTTAAAATATATAGACTATAAAGATGTATATCAAGAATCCTATATGAAAAGATGCAAGACCTGAAAGTCTGTTCTTTGTGAACATGTTCATTATGTTGTCCTAATCTGTATTTTTATTCCTATCCTCTCAGAATAAAAAAGCAACATTCTTCGTTTATTGGACTGCCATCAGTACGTTAACTCGGGTCCAGTCTCTCGAGTATCTAAAAATTTTCAGTACTTTCCTAAGAGAATTTTTTTTCAAGGGAAATGAAAGACACGAACAGTTTGATACATGTATTTAGCTGCATATTATAGTCTTTATTGTTATTATTTTTAAAATTATAAATATTTTAGGCTCATTGATTTGGTTTAGATCAATAAGAACGCAGATTGCGTTAACTGCCAGTCATCTAGTTCCAAACCTGACTGAATGGGATAGAGCATCTCAGCAGACACGATCAGTGAAATAGAAAGTTCTCTCCGCGTTACCAAACTTACTTTCAGACTAGTTCTGTACGTGCAATGGCGAGGTACCTAACCAAGGCCACACTGGCCATGCACTGTGTAATGTTTCATCACTTTGTGCCACAACGCAAATGACGTCAACTGCATCAGTTCAATTCTTTCTTTTTTTTTTTTACTTTCCGGCGCAGCCACGCAAAGATGGGAGTAAACTTTATTAGCAAATCAAAGCACAGCATACACAGCAGTTTCCCAACCGAATATATGCCTTACAAAAAATGAAGTCCTTAATCTATATCCAGGTCTTTTCAGCAAAATCGTGAAAGTACATTACTTATTAATTTTCTGTTGAGGAGAAAAAACACACTTAATGTGCACAATCACAGAGAATTGCGCTGTTATGCAACGGCTTACTCAATAAGCCGCCCTTCCGAGCGGAAGACACGGTAAATTGCGCAGGTTTTTGAGCTTGCTAGGGAGAGTGGGGAGAAGTGGGCCACCGTGGGAAGAGTTTTTTAAAAACCGAAACAACTAAAAAATGAAGAAACAAAGAACAGAATGCGTTATATCAATCTACACAACTTTTATTGTGTTTAAAAACCAGTTGTAAGAGATAGAATGAAATTGGTTTTATAGAGTGCTGAAGTCAACATTACAAGTGGAGAGAAGAGGGCCATGGGTGGGGAGAACTGCCCCCCCCCCCTCCCTGTGGGGAGAAAAGGGCCCCCTGGGGAGAAGAGGGCCACAGGTGACATCTTTTACCAGAGCTATCGGAACCTTAACAAAAAACCCCAATAAATTCCCCACAACGGCACAAATATGGAATTTAACGCAAATTAAGACCACCAAAGTGTCCAAAGTCAACCTAGATACGGATGTCACCTCTATGGTTCTTACAATAGTGCCTCTGAATTCAGAATGTGGGTGGGGGTAAAATGGCTCTAATTGAGTCAATGTGGACTGAAGAAATATCTTCCACTGCTGGTTTTACAAAGTGTAGGCTCTTTTTGCCCTTTCTTCTAAAAAAAAAAAAATCAACCCCAACATCACCTTCGTTTCTTTCTTTGTCAACAACCTCAACATAGTAAAACTGGGTGACTTTTGTTGAGAACTCACACACCACGCCACGCTCTGCTGATGTTATCTGGCCCAACTGCTCAGTAGGCCATCGCGAGGTCCAATGACTTTTGGGACTTTGTGAACTGTTATGATTCATGTTTCGTCTAGATTGAGTATCTGAGCTCCACAGACACCCAGGTCACAATCTAGAAAGAGCCTGCAGCAAGTTGAAAAATGTTCCCACAGAATGTCATTTGAAAGCTGTGGCTCTTGTCAATGAGGTACAAGTAGCCACTGGTTGTCGCAGACTGAGTAGCGGATGCCCTGCATCATCCCACGAAGATGAGTACGAAAGGTCTTCGGTGATCTGCAACAGCGACTTCATAGTCGAGTTTTCAGTAGTTAGCAGTTGTCAAACCGTAGGATCTTTTGGCACTTTTCAACATGTACTGCGTCAATTCATCCTCTTGTTCTACTGTAAATAATTGACTGTGACGATAGTTAGGACACAATTCAACATCACCTTGTAGAGCTTTCTTCACATTGCTTTTAAGGGTAGTGCGAGCAATGCAGCGAAGGCATATGTGACTTCCCTCAAAGGAGCCCTATTTCTGATAGCTGCCACTGCATTGTTCAATGTATCAGGTAAGGCTGTGCCTATGCCGGTCTTCCTTTGATACGTAGCATTGTCCCTAGAGATTGAACGGAAAACAGAAGAATAAATCATTTAATGCGTGTCTTCGGGACGCTGGTTCGTGCCGAAACACTTGCAGGAAGCGGGTACATGTACAGTGTCACACAGAGCATCAGTGAGGGGAAAACTCTGGAATGGTAAACTACTGTAAAACTACCCCAAGGTTTGTTTTAAAAGTCAACATCTAGATTTAGATCTAAGCCTCTATCTTTGCCTTATATTCTAACAAATTAGATATTATGTCTAAAATAGCATGGAAATATGTTGAAGATTATTTTTCTACAACTGGGGAAAACTGGGCCCATGGTGGCCCACTTCTCCGCATTGGTAGTCTAATAACTATTATTCAAATGTGTGTTTTCTTAATTAAACTGGCAGTTAAAACACGCAGAACACATGAAAATAAGTAATTATTTTAGATAAGTTCTTTAACTATTGTTACACTTACCCAATCTGTTTTGCTCCTCTTTGTGGTAAAGTTGCGAGTTTCAAAAATCGAATATTTCAAGTTTTTCTTGATGAAAACGTCTTTTCCGCTCCATTCACTCAAACCGGCCAGAAAAAGAAAGGAAGTTGCTTCCTTGCGCTGGAAACAATTTTTTACATGTTTTTTTCTTGCAAAATTGCTCTAGACATCTAGATTTTGGCTCTTCAGGGGGTGGCCCACTTCTCACTCTCCCCTATTGATTATGTGGTCTGTAGTGGAATCAGAATCTTGACCTCAAACATGTTTAGCTGATTGAGTGTTCACTAAAACCAGTTCACGACCTCTCTATCACTACTATCAGGTTGGGTGTCGGAGGGAGTAAGCCTACACTGTTTAGCTGAAAATAGTCCGGTCTCAGAAGAACCAGAAAATAAGTAAATGTATTAGCGGCCTGGTATAAATGTGTATACCCAATGCAATTTAGTCGCCCTCAAAAAGAAACTTAAAATGGAGGTTTTCATGACAGAGAAAGGACGAAAAATAATACAATAAAATGAAATAACAGTCTTGATAATTGTCTCTCTATGAGATCTACTACTTAAACTTATACTTATTGAATTTCAAGTCGGTACCGTGTCGAATACCTGCTCAACCTAATGAAACACTCGATACCAAAAATACCAGCGCAATTTTCTTACAGGTTTTGAAAAACTCCTTTGAACTTTTTGATTATTTACTATTACTAGTAAAAGTACCCGTTCTACGAACGGAATAATAATGAGGAAGTATTAGGAAAGTTAAGAACAGGAAAAAGACTGAAAACAGGAAAGAAACAAAACATAAATATTATTTTTACCTTGAATTTATCCATTTTGTAGCACCCCCTCTTGACTACCTCTAGGGGTAAGACTTCTTCCCCCTCTTCGAAGGCGTGGCATTTTCTCCTAAAGTTCCAGTTCAATCACATTTTTAAAAAAGAGTTAGGCCTACTTGATTTTTTATCTTGATCTAGATTAGATATTAGATCTAGATCTAGACATAGATCTTCACACGAACACACTGAACACAAAATATCTTTCGGCGCAGTTCAGCGCGCGCGCTAATCCACTGCAGGAGAAATCTACTTTCAATACTTTCACCATATTTTAAAATCTTGATCTAGATATTAGATCTAGACATACACACACATGCGACTACACGCAGGGCGTAAACTGGGCTACGATTGGCTGAACCTTTGACTTTGACCCATTACATTAAGTAGACCTACGGTAGGCTACTCTTGGCGCTTTCGACGACACCCTCCCTGTCACTCACATCCCTCCTTCTGTAGTGCTTTCTGGCCTCCTCTCTCTCTATCTCTCCCCCTCTCTCTCCCTCTCTCCCTCTCTCTCCCTCCCCCCCTCTCTCTCTCCCAAGGTAGGGTAACAAACGAAAAAGTCCCCACTTCTTCTTCTTCTTCTCCCTCCCTCCATCCATCCTTCCTCCCCCTCCTCCTCCTCCTCCTCCTTCTTTTTCTTCTTCTTCTTCTTCTTCTTCATTTCTCCTCCTCCTCCTCCATCTACACCTACGCCTTTTCCTCCTCCTCCCCCTCCTTCTTCTGCTTCTTCTATGAGTGCTCCAAACCCGCTGTGAGAAGACGGCCGAAAGCGTGAGACCGAAACCGGGAATTCCCGTAAACCTACTTTAATGTTTAACTGAACACTGAACCAAGGAGTTTAGAACTTTTAATCTCCTTGGACTGAACCAGAGACACTAAAATATAATTAAATACTCTCTGACTGAACACAAAATTATCCTTCGGCGCAGTCGGCACTCCGCACCGAATATACAATGTCGAAGCAAATGATGGCGATCGCTACAAACGGACTGAATTTAACTTAAAATCGGCTTTCTTTTTACACATTTGATCTTAATGAAAATACAATGGTGCAACACTACGTTTCAAGTTATGGTTACTGGGAAAGTTTCATATTTTTTCATTCAGCAGTTTCTGAGAATATACTGTTCGCAAAATTTGGCCTCAGCTCCATTAGTAGTAAGATTATTAGGGGAAACCTGCGCAATTCTCCGCTGTCCCGCCTTCGTCCCTAATTGGGGGTTGGGTGGGGGGCGAGGGTAAAAGTCGTATAAACTTTTCACTTTCTCATCGTGGGCAAAAAAAAAGTACATCTAAGCCTAAAGATAGAAATTGAATGTTTCATTCTCAGATTACTTTTGTCGTCTGCAAAGGCAAGCTTCATTTTTTATATTCGAATAATTTTACTATTTTTGTTAATAAGAGTCACGTATCACAGCTGCCCCCCCCCCCCCCCCCCCCCCCCCCCCCATTTCCTAGGGTTTTTTCTCAAGGCATTTCAAGGGTGTGGGGGAAGTAGGATTTGTTCATCTTTCTTTATTAAATGTGTGCGCGCGCAATTACTAGCGAAAAGAGAGCTTAACTTTTAAAGAGATTTATGGGCAACTGTTGCTTCACTTCTGCTATATATAGAGGTGTGGTGCTTATTTCAGACCAAATATTCTAGTATTGCCTACTATTTCTATATCACAGAATGTTGTCATTAGCGTGCACAGTACAGTATAATAAATGGAAACAGAAACAGTCGGTATTTCTTGCTAAAGGTACATGTACTAGGATCATTTGCAATCAGTTTTATGCTCTCCTTTATTCTGCTTTGGAAGAGGATTAAAAAATATTTCTTTCTTTTGACATTCTGAGTTTCACTTCATTTCAAAATGATCGGTGCCTTGTCTTTCTAGTTCATCAATCTGTCGAAGTTCCCTTAAGTTCTACAAACCTGTTATATTGGGGAAAAGCTTTGCTATTGTAATGCTGGTATGTAAGGCCTACACATGTATATTTGTTATACACGTAATTACAATCTTATTCAAGATATTCAGTCCCCTGCGAGCTATGTAAACTTAAGGTTAGAGCAAACTACAGCAGAAGGAAAAGTTCTGAGGAAAAAGTATTAAGTTTGCCTGCTTCTGTATGCCAAAACAAGTTTGCCAATGGCAGGACTATGCTCAATCAAAATGCCAACAGGATTTGTAACAAAAAGAAAATGCTTAGTTAATATGAAACATAAGTTTGTCAACAGAAAGACCATAGCCTGCCTACTTTTGGTCAATATCCCAACATAGGTTTTACGTGTAGTTTTAGTACAAGTTTTCCAGCACTTGTAACACAATTCGGTCAAGAAAGTACCAAAAATTAGAGGTATTACTGAAAAGAAATATAGGGAGAAAATGAGGACATGTAAGGAAGATAAATGTTTGACAAGAAGGAAAGAACAAACCACGCTAGATCTAGAGCACCCACTAACGCTGGTTTTCAGGCAGCAGTTTCTATGCTTTGTCAATATGCCCACATAAAAGTTGACTAGCATTCAGCCTATGCCTGATCAATATGACATCAGTAGTTGCCATCAACAGTAAATTACCCTGTGAGTGCACAATACAAGAGGGTGCGGTGGCCGAGCAGTTAGTGTGCTCATCTACGAAGCGGTTCGGACACAGATTTTTTTCGCCCCCTCCTGCCCACCCAGCAGTAATGGGTAGGCCTACCTGACTTCGAGTTGGGGAAATAAAGGCGACGTAGAAAGGAACTGGCCACTCTACCACAATATGCTGAAGGCCTAGGAAGTTGTCTCACTAACAAGGCAGTCCCCAATGTCTAGATCAGATGCGGGAACAACTTTACACAATATATGTGAGGGAGCGTGGCAGAATCAGGCTCTCGTCAATTTTTGGGCATGTAGAGTTATTGGTATCATCTTAAAGCTTGTTCACTTGTCTTTATTTTGATGAAAAATATATCCATTTATCTTGAATACAAGTCGAGATATTTGCAAAAGAAGGAGATGGGGGTCACTTGTTTTCAGAGGTAAAATTAGTGAGAAAATGTCCGCCAAAGATTAGTTATTTCCTTAGCTTAAGAGTCCATGGTAACTGAAAATTCACATTTTTTGTGCCTTTCATCAACGTTTTTCAGAAAAAATCCGCACAGAAATGAGTTCTTTAATGGGCATGAAAAATGTTCATCCCAAAAACGAAAATTTGATAAAAATTCAGAAACAGGCGGAAAAATGCAAGTCTCTTCACTTTGATTATTTTGACGAGAGCCTGATTCCACCACGCTGCCTCACATATGTATAAATAACATAGACGCAGCACAGACCAGACAAAAGTCACCTTATTCCTGACCTTCAGCACTGTAGTACAAAAGTCTGTAACAAATTATGATTCAGTGTCGCTTTTAAGTAAGCGTTTAATGGCCCTTACAACACCATTAGGTCATCATACAAGTGCCGAAGATTACAGGTGTTACAAGAGAGTGACAAACACAAAAAAAGGAAGAGAGATAATGACGATAGATGTTTGATAGGAAAGGAGAGGAACAAAACACATCAGAGTACCCGCCAGCCATCCACGGCTTCAGTGCCTTTCTTCAGACATTTTATCGCAATGAAAATACTTTTGTCTTTTTTTTTTGGTAAGCCTTTTACAGCACTCGCAACTGCATAGGTCATATGAGCGTGTGGGCACATTAAACATTTTCAGTTTGGTAGGAATTAATTTTGAATTTCGGAGGGGGTGGAGGCAGAAATTGGAGACGAAAGTAGATGACAGAACATGGTCAGAGAGTAGGAAAGGGAGTGAAAGGAGAACATTTTTAGAGAAGAATATTTTACGTCGCTGTCCGGATTCGAACGCGGGACCTATTGAATGAGAGGTAAACGCCTTAACCTCTAGACCACGAGAGCCCCAATTTAAAATACTAACAGTGGCACAGGGCTAAGGGCTACTTCACAGAATCCACAACAGGGTAAAAACAGAAATAATGAGAACTACCAAGAACATCATACAGAGCTTTATTAGATTGAGATGATTTATTCCAAATCACAGTAAACATCACCAAACATCCCCCCACACCCCCAAAGCTGTGATTCAAGAACAGTTATCAGCTTTTGAAACTTTCTAGCCTAGGATGAGTTGACATCCGACAAATACAATGTAACTGTTAAATTACTTTAAAAAATGGTAATAGTAATAAGTCTTATAAACTTCATAAGGTAGCAGTATCAAGAATACATAAACCGCAAAAAAGTTGTGAAATTTACAATGACACACTCTATTAAAGACAATTTAACTGTTATAGTGTAGCCTGCATAAACCTAAAATGGTTAATCTGAACAAAGTGGTAAACTGAAAAAGAACAACATTTTTTAGCATCCCTGAATCTTTTGCTTCTATTCAAATTCAAACAACCTCTCTAAACCGAAAACCCAGCTAAACCAAAGAAAATCTGGCGATATGGCAGATTTTGGTAGATGTGAAATCCCCTGTATCAGAAATTACTCAAGACCATTTTATAATTTCACAGGAAATTAAAAGGTGGTAGAAAAAAAGGCATGATCTATGGGCGGAATAGTTCAATAATAAAATAATCATTGATTTGATACACAAGTAACAACTTTTTATGACAGAATATAAAGGACAAGGAAACCTAATGCACTGTTAAAGGACACTTCTCACAGCCAAATGATACAGGGCACAATAACAATACCTTCAATGAAACCAGGTGATATGGTTAGTTACCAGGAATTCATCATGCACATCATGCCAATTTGTATGAAACACACATTGCAATCAGCAGACAAGATCCGAATTCCTGACATCAGAAAGTTCTATTCAAAAAGTATTCTTAAGCCATATAGGCCTATATATACAAAAAAGCCCCACAAAAAACTAGAACACAATGCTTTCACAAGTAAGGGTACAAGTTTTTCGAACTATGCACAGGCTCACAATCCTGACATTCCAAGTAAAGCTTAAAAAAAAAACTTGAGACGAAAAAATCAAACCCCAAAGCCACAGCCAAATACACAGATAGAAACCCTCTAGACATCCTTTTAAAACAATTTATTTAGACTAAAATCAAGTACTTGCCAAAATTGACCCATTTAGACAAAAAATCCACTTTTAACAATGAATGATTAGAAGGCTCTAAAAATGAATTTGTACAACTTAAGTAAAACATTATGGGTGATCTTCTTATTGGACCAGCAAACAGTCTATTGGACTACAAATATGACTAGTATTGAACTCTGTTTGGCTGTAAAAAGGAAAGTGCTAATTACCCTTTTCTTCGAACTGTTTATGAAAGTGCAAAATTGGGTTGATTTGTAAGGTACTAGCATAGTTGTACTGTACATGCAGAATGCTTCAGTACGATGAGACGCATGACATTTTTATCCCAACTACTGTACTGCTTGGACTGTCGTCCCTTGTCTGAAATTTTTAGACACCAGCGAATCATGCCATGATGCAGGAACAAAAGGACGCAGCTTGATGAGAATCTGAAACAGAACAATAAAAAGAGACTAATTCATAATTTTGTCTATTTTTTTGGTATATCTATAAGAATGGTAGAACTGTCAAGTTCTGAGATAACAACCAAAGTGAGACACACATTCTAAAATACAAAAAATACGTTTAAGTGATATTTGAAAGGTATTCGACAAAAAGTAAAGAAAAGTCTAGCATGCACATAGCGAAATAAGTAAGAAGCGGAAATCTCTTTGTTTTGTGCACTTTTCAGGCTATATACTTAGCTGGACAATCAGGTCAAAATTTTACATGAATTCTGCCCTCATGCGACACTAACGTGTGTGTTGAGTTCATAATTACTTAAAAGTTTGGCAGATTTTGATTTTTGACACTCAATTTTAATTTCCCCTGTGCTAGGATTGATGTACCATTTTCCCCTCTACTGTCGAAGCATGATCCACTCTCTACTAAAACTTCTCCTAAACTTAACTTTGGGGAACAGGGGCAAGTTGTTGTATAGTGTAAACTCTAATGTAGAGGAACCACACTGACATACTCCGAGACAACAGCAGATTAATGCCTTTATGTGACCGCAGATACTCCACAAGCAAATGAAGTGAGCAGACTAGATCTACTGCTCAACATCTGACAATAAACATTTACTTAGTCTTGAACTATTGCCCTCAGTCTTTAGAGGGATCATTGGTTTACACTCATACCATGCTCCCCCCCTCTCTCTCTCTCATCTCGACTATTTTGGTTAACAACATTTGCGGTCATATGTCATAAGATCTACCGTCGCAGACGCCAACTATTTTAGCTATGTACGAATTGTTTTCGCAATGAGCATGTTTTTAATATTAAAGAAAAATTTTGGACCTGAAAATCAGTTTGCTATGTGTGTGCTAGACTGCAATAGCATATATATAATCCACAAAACGTACTAGAATTACAAAAAGTGAACTGAGGCTAAGTGGGGATCGGTAAAACAAACATAAGGAAAATTCAAAGTCGCTGTTCATTTCAGAGGACATAGAGCAAGGAAAGCTGTGAACCATTTCTTCTCCTTTCAAACAAACAACAAAAGTCAACAGCACTCCTGAACATTTCAAATATAAATATGACAATGTTTGGCAGCTCAATATGGTTCTGGGGTTGACAATAATTTTAATAAGTACTATCTGCCAATGATCCCAAGCATCAGCTTCCTCAAGTAACATTGACAGCAAAGAATCATGGGTACATATAATGGTTCTTAAACTTGGGAGAATTTTTTTAGATGTAGGTATTTTTATGCCTCCATTGACACAATTTAGATCATTAAGGCGATGAGCTTTCGAACTTACTGGTCAGGTCCAACCCCGGCTGAGAAGGATACATAACAATCCAGCAGAAAGATTGAGATATTTGAGAACCATTTCTCCCTACTTGGGAACTGAACTTGGGTTTCCTGTGTGTGACAACACAGCGTCTAACCACTACACCACAGAGGCCATTTTAGCTTCTTTTAGCTATAGAATTCAAATGAGCATATGAATATGACAATTTGCACTTACATTAGACACATCAAAAAGCTGACTTCCCCCATCTACCAGGTACTGGGAGCCAGAGCTAAGGTTTGTGACCGCATTTTCCATGGCCGTTACGACATTGACCAGACTGCTGGCTGTTGACTTGGACAGATCTGACAGCTGAGAAAGGAGAGAATCAAGTACACACAAAATTCAAATGAGTACAAAATAAAGAATAAGGGGAAAAACAGCTACGCATCTCCTCCCCTTGCCAGTGGTGTGTTAATCCAGAACAGGAACACAATCACTGCTGGCTTAAAAAATAATTTTAATCTTTGACTCAAAAATATTGCTCCACGAAAAAAGTCAACACATTAATCACCATTTCTATTTGCTAGATCTTAGAGGAAAATTTTAGAGCACATCAACAAAGTCAAAATGTGCTACTATTATTATTATTATTATTATTTTTCAAAAGAGTTACTCCAACTCTTTCTGACACTTTTCTCCTTCAGTGCTCTGTAATACATTCACAATCAAAGTGGGAATATTTCAAATTAATCACTACTTTTAAAAAAATGTTATCTTTTGACTGTTTTTGCTCCTAAAATGAGAAATACATTTTTTGTCCTGAGGGACCCATAGGGAATTTCAATCAAGTCTCACCATCAAGGGTTGCAATTCTCTCACTGGCAGTGTGTCACTCCTATGCCACAATCTAGCATAGAGGTGGCATTCACAATCCTGTGTCATTCGTTCAGATCTCTATTGTTACAATCTGTCCTACAAAGGTATGGGTGAGACAAATGATAGACCCCTTGAAATCCCTATAAATAGGGCCAACCTCAAAAAACATCCGACTTGTTGGCAAAAGTAGGTGTAACAAAATTGAATAGTATAGAGAGTGAAAGAGTTTAAATAAAAACCTTTAAAAAAAATAAATTGGAGAGTAAATTTGTATTCTAAGAGGCAATAAAGAAATTTGAATCTAAAGTTGAACCTTGGGAATGTTATGTTAATACCTGTTCAAGCTGGGTGTCTAAATGTTTGGTCCCATAGGCGTTCAAGACTTCTTGATCTGTAGAGTTTTTAAGCTGGTCAAACTCTGTTTTCACTTTGCCACACTGGCAGAAGAAAACAACATTTTTTATCACATTTAACAAGAGCAGAACAGAGTTGTTTACAACATTGTCATCTAAAAATACATACACATTATGAAAAAATAGTCAATACAATGTACTACTTAGCTCTTAGCTTATCTTTCCATTAATTTCCTATTTCAATTTTTTTTTTCTCAACTCTTTTCCTACCAGGTCAAAATCCACCACTGGCCCAGGACTTTTCCATGACCTATTTTTCCGCCCCTACCCCACCAAAGGAAAATGTCAAAACATCCAACTAAACACACACAAACCATATCATATGGCCCATCAAACTGAAAGTTAAAAAAGAATGTATCAGATGGTGATACAATACTGAAAATTTATTCCAATTATATTAGTTTGGGGTTTCTAAAAGTGATTAGGCAATATCAAAGGTGTCATATGAATTCAACAATTTTCCAGCTTTAAAAGGTCATATTAAAAAAAGTGCAACAACAGCATCATTTAAACTTCCCAGGTAGGTTGCCTTAAGTAATGTGATAAAATGCTGAAAGTTATGAATGTGTACCAAATATAGAAGTGAAAATATGAGACATATACCGGAGTCAGGGGAGCGCTTTTTTTCTCGTTTTAACGCTTCGAAGGGGACAAAAAAAGCGCTCAAATGATTAAAATTTTCTCTCAGTGCTATATTTTCTTTCATATCTACTAACAGGAAGTCTATTCTATTATTTTGAAAATGTGGATCGGCCGAGAATTTCGTGTCTTTTCATTACCGGATTGGAATTGATAGCGAGCCACTCGAGCCGTATTTTGCGGCTCTCGGTCCAGCTTTGACGTCACGTCCGCGAGCCGCATTATGTAGTGAAAGTGTTAATAACCAGATTCTATCTTTCATTACAAAAAACTGCATTTCAAGTTAAAATACCTTCAAGCTTAACATTACATTCCTCTTCTAATAAATCAAAGTTGATTTTGTGTAACTCAATAAGACAACTTTTTAGGTTGTCACTCTTAGTGGAGTCATGCTGAAAATTCCAGTGCTCTCCAAATGAATCATGCGGTGCCAAAATGTATCAAATGTTAAAAGTTAGTATATTATGGTGCTTAAACTGAGAAGTCAAACAGGTGGCTAGTTTCAAATATATATTCTTATTCTTCAATTCAAGAAGAACTGACAATTTAGTTTTAAAAATACTTACGACCTGAACTCATTTTTCTGCGAGATATTCTTTACCTAAAACCCAAAAATACGTCATTACAGATAGAAAAGAAGAAAGACTGGAAAAGTATTCCATCGATACAGATGGAAAGACAAAAATATCTTACAGCGCTTTTGTTCAGGATGCCAGTAGCTCCTAAGTAGTTCCCCGGCCTGATGGTTATCACCTTGACTCCAAAAGGCTGCATCTCAATTCGTAGTGCATCGCTGAAGGCTTCAACAGCAAAACAGGAGATGCAAAAGGCTGACTGACCGGGAGCTGAAAGGAGCCCGCTTGCCCCCGACATGTTGATCACACGACCTAGTTGTCACAAAGGATAATGCATCATTGTGACTTCAAGTTGCAAAAAACGTTTGCAGCTGATTTCACAAGTGCGCAAGAGGAGTAACACATTATTATATATCTGGTACGAGAAAACAAGCACTTGTAGTCCTTCTCCTTTAAGCGCCCCCCCCCCCCCATCCAACACACACACAAACATAAAAATACTCACATTCACACAACATATAAATGAGATCGGATAAAATCAAGTGAAATAAAAAAGACACCTGACAGAAAGTACTGGATGAAACAAACAATTCAACCAAAGCTGACAACAGTATAAACAGAAGTGACCTTGTTAAAGGTGCATTAAGACCAAACACCCGCATCAGTCTGTCCATCTAACGAACAACAGATGGACAGTAGCTGACTGGGAAACTGATGTTCAAACCACCTCACGTCGGTTTGTTGGCGTGCCTGTCATCAATATGGACGTCACAACGAATGTTCTTATTTTGTCATGGCAAGGAAGCAGCATTTTCAGTAAGCAATAATACAATGTATCATAAAGCAATGAAGCTTTGCCAAACATAAAGCCACCTTCTGAATGAATAAATAAAATGACAATACAGTCAAACCTGTGTAAGACGACCACCCATTGTCAAGGAGAAAAGTGGCCGTCTTAGGCAGGACTGATCAAGATGAAGATAACAAACCATTCCCATCTGAGGTCCCAATCGAAAGTAGCCCCATTGTTGTTGTTTTTGTTTTTGTTGTTGTTGTTGTTGTTGTTGTTGGTGGTGGTGGTGGTGGTGGTGGTTTGTATTTCGTTTGTAATTTTTATTTTGTTGCTGATTTTGCACAAAGGTGACAATAAAACGAAATGTATTAGACAAGGAGTGCCATGTTAAAACAAACACACGGGTCGCCACCACTCGGAGAACGAGCGACGCTTCTGTCACAAGTTCATGTTGACGCCCTTTGTTACAGACTGGGTAAACAGTGACCACTCATCTCACTTACGATGTGTGTATGAGTTCTGGGCGGGGCTTATGGGTTATGAGGGATCACTCGCTAACCTCACCAGCAGCTGAAAATTGGTAGCTATTGGTCAACAGTGGGAGGGGCCTACGCAACATGATCGGTTGAAGGGACTACCTAACAACAACGACAGGTGATTGAATTATGACGGCTCGCCCACAACGCCAGGGGCCAGTGCACAATTTATGACAAAACGTAATGGAGTCTCTAAGGTAGCCGTCTAAGACAGGTGTTATTGCTTAGTATGATAGGAGTTGTGTTAAATTATGGTGGCCGCGGCCGCGTTGGACAGGTGCCCGTTTTACACAGTTAAATTATATAGAGAAAACGCAAGGGGGGAAATGGAAAGTGGCCGTTTGTACAGGTGGCCGTCAGGGCAGGTTCGACTGTATTTGGTTGTTTTTTTGTCCCCCCCCCCCCCACACACACACACACACACAAAACTAGCAGGAATGAAAGTGGCAAGAGGTAAAAGTCCATCTTACCATAAAAATAGAAGATATGGTTAAGTTTTTTCAAGGTTCTTAAAATCCTAGAAAACGTGAAATTCAAATTAGCATCAATTTTCAGCTCCTCACCTATTTCTTTTAAAATCTGATTCATGTAATACTGATGAGAATACAAAATATTTGTTTTATCAGTAATTGCTGGAACTTTTTGAACCCTTACAATCAGCACCTCATTGTATATTTCCATTGTTTCATGAGAAGCGAGAAGAAAATGTAAGCAAGCAAAGTGACTTGCAACACAATGCACACCAACACACCACAGTGTCAATCTTCACCTCGGGCAAATTGAGGTAACTCGGAAATTGGCGAATGAAGGTCAAATTCTAGTACATTTGGTATGATTTCACATCAAAATTCGAAAAGGAGTACGAATATGATATCTGACTTAACCATTCAATAAAAAATCTTTTCATAAAAATTAAGCTGGCTGAACTTGCCCCACTTCTTGGGACTTGATTGAAGAATTTTTTATGGCCATCGTAGAGCAAACTAGACAGATAAACTTCAACTTCCTTCAACTCCCTTCATGGTAAAACATGAGACTTTTGTCTGAACATTAGCAGGACAGATATAAGAATTGAATTGATCCGTCCATCTGACAGAAGAAAGAGGACAGACACGGATGTTTGGTCTGAATGTGCATGCAGCAAGTGGTACGGTGTCAGACATGCAATAAAAATGTCAGGTCAGATCCCTGTTCCATAAGATAAGACATTATATCTTTAAAAAGCTAAGCTAACTTATTTTATTCAGTTCACTCAGCTGCAACTGGGTATTTGGTAGTCTGAAGAAAAAGAATACATGAATGATAGAGGATGCCTAACTGGCTTGCAACTGGGGGACTAAAATAGTAATTCAGAAAGATCAGAGCAGTCATGAAAGATTTATTACATTGTGTGAGCAACTTTAACTTTGCCATCAAATGTCTATTGATAATATTTATCAGTAATTTTGTGTCTTTGATGCCACCATATATATATACTCTTGTCACCCTTTTAGTACCACAAGTCTTTAATTTCTGCTTTTTGAACCCTCCCAAATATAAAGCAAACCTTTGGCCTTTCTGACATATGGCAAACACAGCTTGGTCAATTGAATGCTGCCCAGTAAATTAACTTCCAACACTTGGCGGTATTTTTCCATGGAAGTAAACTCAATATCTCCAAAAGATGCAATGCCAGCATTGTTGATAATAGCCCACAGTCCTGTGAAAAAAAGAAACATTAAGAGATAGTAATGCTCATCTGAGAAAAATATATTTGCTTCAAAATCTATTAAATAATAAGAAAAGGGAATCTTTTTCTTGGTAGACTTTCATCAAAATGCCCGCATGGAATGAAGTAAGTGTAGTGGACTACCCGTACGAATGAAGCCTGAGTCAACTCTGCTTATTGCAGCCTCCAAAAACTCCTTTTTAAACATTTTGAGCAGCATAACGAAACCCAGATTGTGTGCTCAATCTGAATTATACATACTCCCACAAAGTGAAAAACTCCCCAATTAATAATATGCTGAAATTAGAGATTTGAACAAGAAAAAATGTCGTAACTGATTAATATTTTTACTGATGTAGATATATCAGAGGCATTTTTTAGCAATTTTTAGCGCAAGTAAAACTGAAGCTAATAGCAACTAGACCAAGGAATGGCGACGGGGGAAAAAATACTCCCTGACTTTTTATGTGTAAAAGGATCATGTGAGTACATTAACAAGGCTATTTTTTTTCTTTCTACTACTGCTCATGATAGACAGAGCTTAACATCTTTTTTGCTCTATAATATTTCTTACCCTAAAAGGCAAGAACGGGATTTTAAATGTTATTTGAACCTACCCACATACTAGAGGACACTACAGTGTTTCAGTGATTTATATTTCACAGTCCTTTATCCCTTAATCTCGTAGGTCACCATACCCTCTGGTATGTTGGGCAGAATGACATTCTTTGATATATTTAAATTTGGTACACAGAAACTATGAATCATCATCCCTATCAAGTTAAGATAAAAGTTGTTAACAATCAAAACTGTTGTAATAAAATCTTTTAAAAATATGTCAGATAGGTTCAACTTAAAAAGGCAATTGTGGTGACAACCGAACTGATAGTGTTATCATGACAAAACCCGATAACATAATTTTATCTCTATAATAATGATAGACAATGAAAGAAAACATCAATGTTAACTTTTCAGATGCATCACAATATCCAGTGGTGTAGCAAAGAGCTTCATATTCACATAAGATGATGCTGAATACCACAGCTGTCGCAAGCAAATTAACTCACTTAAGTCAAAATTTTGAGAACTTTCTATTTTTGCACCCTCCCAAAGCATTATCAAAGATACACAATTCAACATCACCAAGATGCAGTTTAATGCTAAGGTCAAGTATTACAATTTTCTTGTTCTTCTCGATTCTTGACAGAAACAACACAGCAAAAATAGTTTATCTGTAAAGAGTACCCAAACGGACTTAGGCAGATTGCTTGCGACACTGGCAATATATTAGTGCAATCAACATGGAAAGGGACTGGAATAGAAGATCTTAGAACTCAAGCACTATTTCTATGATTCTTGACTAGTTGTCTTTCATTGCAAGACAAACTCATGAATAATTCAAGGCAAAAAAAATTTCTCTTCTGATTTTAAAGTGCTTTCAATGACAGGACTAACTTTTTCTTCTGTTATATAAAGTCACTTCAAGCATTTCGCAAAATACACAAAGGACTTGTCCTCACTTTTTAGTTGTATTAGATAATATAAAATGTTGGGTAATAAATAATCATAAAGTCTTCAAGGAAATAAAAAATAAAAAGATCTTTTTCTACCAAAAATTTGCAAATACCTGCACTGTGCAAAAAAAAAAAAATGGAAGATAATTTTGATATTCCAAACAGCAATGCTTGATAAAGTGAGATCTTGATGCAGAGTGAAAAGTACAAGCAGTAGTCAGAGCTTATGATTTAAGCAACTGACGCTCAATTACATTGCGAATTTCAACAAATTTGAACTTGGACCCACTTACGTCTGTGTTCACTTTTTGACCTTTAAATCATAAATACCAACAGCAGTCACAGCTTACTATTTAAGCAACTGTCACTCACTAACACTGCAAACTTCAACAAATGTGAACTTGGACCTCTTTATGTCTGTTCATTTTTTTAACTTAACATCATCATTAGTTGATTGCGAATGTCATTTAAAAAATGTAATACAGCTTGCATTGGTAGTACTACTACAAAGCTGGAGAAAATAAGGTTTAGATATACAAAAAAAGAAACAGAACTAAATCTAAAGTGGTTAAGTTGGCATACCCCCTCCCCCAAACCCACCCATCCCCCCCCAAAAAAAACCCCAGCAAACAAACCAAAAACAGAACCCAAATTTAAAACATTTGGGTTTTTTTACATCTTAAAGCATATTTACAATATTTTCGGGGGTATTTTTTTTTAAAGGTATTCGTTTTAAGAGCATATTTTTGTTTTCCTTCTTAAGCCAGCTTCCTTCTTTTCGAAATGAGTATAGGCCCTACAATCAAAATGGATTTTAAAAATTTGTAAAAGGCAGGGAAAGAAGGTGGCAGATAAAAAAATTAGAGACTCACAGTGTAATCTTGGTAAGTTATTATCTTTTGTTGAAGCTAAATAGGCAGTTTAAACAATCTTTTAAGTAGGACAATAATAATTGTAATTACCTTTGTTTTGACAGAATTCTTTGACTTTTGCCATACATTGAAAGACACTGTCTTCATCAGTGACATCAAGGGAGACAACATGCATGCGCCCAGTAGTGCTTGCTTGGAGAAGAGCAGCCCCTTCGCTGCCAGCATTCAAGCAACCAGCGATTACTGTGTATCCATGTAAGTCAAGTCTTCGAGCACATGCATTTCCAAAACCTGTCAACAGACCACAGATGTAGGAGCATAAAAGTAGACATATAACTTTAAAAGTTTGGGGGAAAAAAAAAATATTGAGTTAAACCAAAATATCTGGTTGATGGGGGAATTGATACAAGAATGAGTTTTATAAATGTGAGGCATCGAGGTGTAATCAGGCACTTGTCAAAATAATTAAATCGAAGATACTGGTATTTTTCTGCGGGTTAGGCCATTTTTATTGAATTTTTCTTTTTTGGCTACACACTTTTGACATCTACTTAAAAACACTTTTGATGTGGGCTCTACTGAAAATCGTTAATCAAAGTTAAAGAAACAAAAAATATGAGTTTGCTGTTTCCAAGGACTCTCAAGCTATGGCAAGTCACCAAACTTCGGCCGCCGTTTTCTTGCTAATTTTACCTCTGAAATCAGGCAACCCCAATCTCCTTCAATCGCAACATTTCTATTTAAGATAGACAGGTATTTTTTCATCAAAATAAAGGCATATAAACACGCTTTAAGATGATACCAGTAACTCCACATGCCCAAAAATTTATAAGCGCCTGATTCCACGTTATTGTGACACAAATTTGTTCTGCATGAGTACTATATTTTTTCTATAAGTATACCATATACCACACAAAATGATGAGATAGTCTCTTCCATCAAAACATCTCTCCCTTGACTCTTCGCCCAATGAGGCACATAAAAAAAGTAGAATTGCTCACATGTATTACATTCTAGAAGTACCTTCTTGAATAAGAAGTGAAACAAAAATGTGGATCCACAAAGTCATTATAAAAGTAATTTTACCAGACGTAGGTGAAAATCTCCTGGAAGTTGACACTTAAAATAAGCAGGTCTACCAAGTCATATAAACAATTGAGATTATATATGCATAGATAAAAAGACGAATGGGGTTGGGGGGCTCAATACCTGAGTCACATCCACTGATGAACACAACACGTCCTTCTGGGTCTACTCTTCGTAAAAGTAAATATCTAATGACAACCACAGCTGTGCCAATGGCAAGTACAGTCAAAATGGCTATGGTCACTTCCCGCACAGCAACGACGAATGGCAGAAAGGCTAGCACTAGTAGATATACAAGCTCAAATATCTGAAGACTGCAAAATTGCTTTACATCCATCTTTTAAAATGATACTGTTCTCTTGTCAAGTTGTCTGAAAAAAAAAGAAGTTAAAATTAAGCTGGTCTGAAAAGTTAGGATAAACAGAAAAAATGGTACGATGACAGGTATAACATCAGGCACTATTGAGTAATAGTAAATTGTCAATACAATGTATTATCTTTGTTGCTAGAAAAATAAGAAAACCAGTTTGCTCACCCTGCGAGGCAGGGTGAAACAAAAGAAAGCCTCCTTGCAACAATGATTCTGAATTACTTTCAAACTTCACGAAATCCCTCATCAATCAGTTCTTATCATCCACAAAAAACATTTTACAGTACCTGTTCTTCTTTTCAAAACAGTGAAACTCGGAGCATAGTCGTAGGGCCTGACCTTTGATTTTGTTGAATCCAAGCGTTCATTACAGCAATGTGGGCAAAAAGTTGCGTCACAATGTAGGGCTTGGCATACAGCAACATCTGTTTCCACAGACCAGCGCGCAATTCATTACATAGATTTACATATATGTCTAGACGAGCCTTTCATTGTCAAGTAGCCTGGGGGAGAGGTGGATATGATCGTGATGCGTCTGTGTCTTTGCCAACTGTTTACGTCTGAAATGCTTGTACCTACACGCCCTAATCTCTTCAGACACATGCATTATATATCAGCCCCCCAACCGACCTCCCTGACACACACTAAGACATGTCATGTCTTATGCACGTGTCAACAACGCACGTGTCAGTGAGAAAGAAGGCTTCCGATTGGACCCATCAGATGAACACAATAGGCTACGCTAAGCATGTACGAGGGCTGTCCCATGGAAAACCGGAAAAGGTCCATAAAAACAACAATCTTTGTCCTATTATAATAAAAATATAACACATCATACCTCAACATGTGCATTATTTCTCAATGTAATCACCATCCCGCTGGGCGCATTTTTTCCCATCGCTGGATCGGGGAGAAGATACCCTCCCTGAAGAATTTTTCGTCAAGGGATTTCAACCAATCTTTCACGGCTTCCACGAGGTTTTCGTCGTCGGTGAATCGCTGTCCAGAAATATGGCGTTTCACAGGTCCAAAAAGGTGATAATCTGATGGGGCCAAGTCAGGACTGTGAGGGGGGTGTGGCAGAACTTCCTAGCCAAACCGTTGGATCCAGTCTTTCGTAGTGTTTGCAGTGTGTGGCGTTGCGTTGTCATGCTCCAAAATGACACTGCTGGACAACTGGCCTGGTTTTTCGGCGCACAACCTCTCTCAACTTATCAAGAGTCTGGCAGTATCTGTAAGCATTAACAGTTTGTCCTGGTTCAAGAATGTCAAGAAACAGAACACCCTTAGCATTCCACAAAACCGTGGCCATGAGTTTCTTCACCAATGGCTGAACTTTAAACTTTTTCGGGGAGGTGAAGACATGTGCTTCCAAACCATTGAAGGGGGCTCTCGTGGCCTAGAGGTTAAGGTGTTGGCCTCTCATTCAAAGGTCCCGGGTTCGATTCCGGGTAGCGACCAAAAAATTTTCTTCTCTAAAATTGTCTCCTTTCACATCCTTTCCTGATCTCTAACAATGTTCTGTTGTCTGCTTTCATTTCCACTTTCTGCCCCCACCCCCTCACCCCCTTTGCCCCCTCCTCTGGGCTCCTGACTCTTTCTGCAGCCTTTCTACTGCTACTCCCTGGCTCCTCCTAACTGCTGTCTTTCTGCCACACCCCTGATCTTCTGGTAGGAAAGATCTACACCTAGCCTTCTCGGACAAGGGCGAAAAATCTCGGAGGGCCCGTGTGCAAGTTGCGCACGTTAAAGATCCCTTGGTGGTCTAAAATCGATAAGAGTAGGCTTCGGCCGCCACCCGGGCAAAATTCAAAATTTCCTACCAACGAAAAAGTATTAGGTGTGTCCTGCGCGCTCATATGACCTTATGCAGTTGCGAGCGCCGTAAAACCCTATACTAAACAAACAAACAAACCATTGAATCCCTCTTCGTCTCAGGGGTCATGTGGTGTATCCAAGTCTCATCACATGTAATTTATATATAATGCTTCTCAAAAATGCTTCATCGTATTGTTGGAGGTCTCGAGATGCATTAATGACTCCCCTGACAGCTTGACGACAACGATTCAACAAAGTCTGAGACACTTCAACACGTTGCGTCTTGTGGTCAGCTGTCAGCTCTTTTGGGACCCATCAAGCAGAGACCTTTCGATAATGCAGCTCATCAAACTCTATCCTATGGACAGTTGACTTTGAAATGTTTAGAGACTCGAAAATTTCGCGAATTTTTAGGCGCTTGTCTGTTTGAATGAATTCGTTAACACGACTCTCGTTGTCCTCAGTCTTAGCAGAAGAACAAGGTCCTGGGTGAACTTTGTCATTGATATCCGTATGCCCGCCTTTGAACTTACTACACCACTCATATACCTGTGACTTTGCCATTACTTTCTCCCCGTAAACTGACTTTATTTCAGCGTGTATTTCTATAGGTCTTAGACCTTTTGCAGTCAGAAACCGAATGACAGACCTCACTTCTATCCTTGACCAATTTTTCAAGGGGATAGTCATCTAGGGAGAACTGCTGTGTTCGTTTGGTTTGTGCGAAGCTCATGGTGCTCAATCGGGAAATTCCTATATGATTGTTTTACAAGTGTGCATTTACAGAATGTAAAAATATAGAATAGTTTTCAAATTACAGCCCTCGTAATTATCTGTGGGGCAAGTGTGATCAATGGTCTCTTGGAATAGAGTAAATAAGGTTAGTTAAATCCGATTTCGCTCATTTATGTGTTTGTTGTATCCTAGTTATTTTGTTGATTAAAAAAAAAACCCAAAAAAACAGGGAATCTGTCTTCTTTCGTTGAATCTGAGTTTTCGTTGAATCCAAGTTCCACAATATATGTTTTTGAAAGCTTTCAGACACACACGTTCAATATAACATGACAAAATAAAAATGGTTTTGAATATTAAATACTGATCACCTTATTTAATGGATTCTTTCATCACAAATGTTTCTTACAAACCTCAGCATGTATTAATTTCCTTGTTAACTTTCCTATCTACGGAAAGTTTATGTGTGCATGCATGGATTCCTATCAGCACAGCTGGGAGAAGATAGAAGCTGTGCGCATCTCTCACTATCTGGTTACTACTTTCACCGTTGACATAACAGTATCAACTGATAGAACTAAGAAATGTCTCTCCACTTCACGATTTCTGCATTTATAAAAGTGACCACTGTATATGACTGCTTTGCCTCTAATTCTTTGTTTATGGGAAATTCATTTTTACCATGTGATACCGGCACTGATATATTAGTTTTAAAAAATAAAATTATCACTTTGAACAGATACAAGCATTTCTCTTGAGGTAATGTACATGAAACTTAAACTTCATTTATAAAATGTATACAACCTTCGCTGAAAAATGTAAAAAAAACAAAAAAACCTAGTCACCAGGAAAGGTCATTTTATGCAGAAACATACAGGGTGATTCGCAGAAATTTGTACAAGAACGTTGTAATTTGGAACAGATTAATTCTTCCAAAGGAATTTGTTTGACATAAAATTCATAAAGAAGAAAAACTTGTTTTCGAGAACAGAAATGGCTTTTATATAAACTACCTACAGTAGTCTCCGCCTAAACGCACGCCATATAAAAGCACGCTCCGCTCAAACACACGCTTTCATCATCTGACAGGTTTTTTACAACATATTTTAGACGTACAAACGCACGGTCACTCTCTCTAAACGCATGCTCCGATCCGTAAAACGCACAGACAGGTTAAGCTGAACAAAGGGAAATCTGCACAGTTTGCATTATAAGACAAGCCTAGACAGTATGATATTCGGTGAGACTGCCCCTCACGCCGAACAAAGAGAGTGATGGACAGCGTTTTCACACTCAACTTTCCACAGACAGTACATAGATCAAGGTCTAGGACTGGTCGGTGAAATGTTGGGGGGTTGGTTGACTGAAATGTTATTTGATTGGTCACTCAAGTCACTGGGTTTCTGACTGGTGTTAGGGTGACTGCATGTAATGTTTGGTTAGACCTAGGCCCATGATGCGAAACATGCATGAATGCTCGTCAATGAATTTACGGTCGGGGGGGCGGTCGCTTGGAAAGTCACGTGGCTGGGCCGTCGACTTTATTACTATCACCAACAGTTTCCTTTTACGCTATCTGTTCCCGACATTTTAAGGTGCATATCAATACATTGAGTTTGTATCCCCCCCACACACACACACACACCCATTCAACGCCTTTGTATTCTTAACCGCAATCGGGGAATCCTTCACAAAACAGTCACGTGTCGTGACTTTATCGGCCCAAAGTGACCCCCACTCCCAAGGGAGGTCACTAGAATATCAAGGTAATGAGGTGACTGCATCCCTTCCTCCCTTTACAAAAGTTCATGTAAACGCACGCTCCGTATAAACACACGTTAAGGAGCCCTCCCGAGCACCTTGCGTTTAGGCAGAGACTACTGTATATAAATTAATGCAAAATGCACGAATTTAAAAGATCTTGCAAGGAGACCTGAAATGATTGGTTTGCTTTTTCCCTTCCTTTTCTTTTTAAAATCTAATCTTTCCATCCCGGTAACATTTAAACAATATGATATATACATATATCGTTTCTCTTACAGAGCTGAAAAAAAATATTTGTAAAATTCTGGAATTCTGAGAACCAGTGCCCTATACAGTGGAACTCGGATTCAACGAGGTCGCCGGGCCTGACCTAAAATCTCGTTGAATATGAGTGTTCGTTATAGCAAATATGAGAGTTTGTGTAGATAATTACAGGCACTGAGCAGTTACAAGTAGTGCCTGAAATACCAGCATGTTATAAGCTGTGTAAAAAAAGACCGATTCTTTCAAATGCACACGCCTGTGTCATCTCGATCGTTTACCAAAAAGTTGTGTTGCTGTGTAGAGCCTTGCATACACGGAAATTTTTGCTTCCATAGACCAGCGCACAATTCATTACGTAGATCTACGTCAAGACTATACATATCATTGTAATAATGATCAGTTGCCGAGGGGGGAAAAAAAGACTGTGACGCGTTTGTATCTGCGATGTTCAGCGCCCGGACCGCCAGTGCCGTCACACATGACGTCACCTGATCTAGATTTCTAGGCTTCGGCGTTTGAATTAGCAGAGGGTAGTGTCTACATACTCTAACGTTAGGCCTAGAGAACGTATACAAGCTGTCTACGTTCTCTAATGTTCAGTGCTTCCAAGCATGTCAATATGTCATCAAATCCAGGTCCTGGAAGGTTTTAATTTTTCTTCTCCTGAGCCTAAAATTATTTTTTTTAAATAATTAGACTCACAGACCAAGGAAAGCCACTATCGAACTTTAACCAAGCCTAAATTGGCAAGGACCTACTTATTTGTAGAAAAGCTCCTCTTGCAGACAAAGAATGTGCACCATGCTTTGATCATCACTACATAAAAAACTACAATAAGCAACAAGTTATAATTATGGGAAAAAATTGTCTGTCAGTCGGAAAAGGAGAAGAAGAAAAAAACACAAAAATCTTCCAGGACCGGGATTCGTACCAACGCTCATAAAATAATGGTTTGATTTCTAACGCAGACGCGCTGTCCATTCAGCCATATCAGAACTTCCAACAATTAAAGAATCGTACGTAGTTTAAGCCTTATATTTAACACACGACGTTTTATTTAGAACTGGCGCTTATCGCAATGCTGCGTTTTATTTAGCACTGGCACTAATCGCAACGCGGCGTTGCAAAAATAGGCATTTCCAAAAATGAAATACATATAGGACTTCTACGTCATGACCTTTGATGTAATATAGATCTAGATATCTAGATCTAATCTAGATCTAGATGTAGCTGGAACTTGACAAAAATGGATTTTATTATTGATGTTTAATTCTCCTGGGTAAGATTGAAGAATACCGGACCAGCGGACTGATTTTGCCTATGTCTCAACCTTAGGAATTCATAATTTCCCCGTTGTTAATATCTCTCAATGGAGATTCTCGGACCGGTAGATCTATTCATTAAAATTTTGTCTGGGGGAGATGCCCCTGAACCCCCCCCCCCCCTCCTCCACCCCAACTACCCGCCCCACCTACCCACTTTCTCGCGCAATAATGTACAAGTGGTCCGGTATTCTTCAATCTTCCCTTCTCCTGCTGAAGAATTAAGATTGAATTCGATTAATTCAAATCGCAAAATGCATAAAAGTAATCTAGAATCTACATAGATCTAGATCTAGATCTAGATCTAGATCTAGATTCTAAAAACCACTGACATGCAAGTGAAAAAAAATTGCTCTCATTGGAGTCTGAGCACAGGCCCACCCCTCATTAAAAAGTAAAGTGTTTCCAATCCCTTCACATTCACATTTTAGGGCCTTCAATGTAGGCCCTGCACAATTCTGATCACTGCTACGAATACAGCAATGAACGAGAGGACTTTGTACAAGTTGACTTACCTCTGTAGTTCTAGCTTTCGAATGGACTACTGATCGCAGGCCCGGACTATATATAAGATCTCTGCGTGTACCGGAATTATGTTATCATCTCAACCTGTGCCCTGTTTGTTATCTAACTGACCCGTTGACCTGTCCTCACATAAGGCTTGCGTAACCTAACAATGAGTGATAACAGTGGTCTTTATTTCAATCTTTATTCCCCGTCTATTTCAGGATCGGATAGGGTCTCAAATCTCAACCCTGTAGCCTTGTCGATAGTCACTAGTCACGACTGATTGAGTTGTCAAGTGTCAACACTGACTTCAGGGAAGTAACTAGAGTTTCACAAGCTCGTTTCTTGCTGGCGCGAAAGATGGTCTCCCTTCTCTTCCATCAAACTGCCAGCTGATTGCTGTAAACAAAATAGAAAGTATAAGAAGCCCACAAGCCTACGGTGTGTGTCTGTGTAAGTGATGTGATGCTCTGTTCGGTAGGCCTAGGCTAACAACTGCTTCACTGTAATACTACTGGTCAGTGTCTAGATCTAGAATCTAGATAGAATCTACTGGTTCAAAAGTTTTTAAGTTTTAGGCGGCATTAATTTGTCATCTCATTTAGACTATTCTAGATCTAGGGCAGGGCCTATATTTATCCATAAAGAAATCTTGAACTCCAAATGACAGAGAAAATAAGTTTTTCCCTCTCCTGTAAAATTTGCTGCGTGTGGAATTCACAATTTCATCAGGCGACCGACGATATAGGCTAGCTATAGCTTTTATAGGCTAGCAGAAATCAGATTCAGAATTCAGAATCTGAACAGCAAAAACTCCTCTGAATTGAATTTGTTATTGAACAATCTTCAGCTGCCTCCACACCCGAGTGTCACACACACATCAAGTCGTGTCAAGGGTCAGTAAGTCGGAGTACAGAGACCATGTCGTGGATCTAGGTTTAAGTCGCAAGAGATAGTTTTATAAAAGGCAGGCTCTATTTCTCAGAGCATTTGGGAAAATAAACTTGAACTCGATTTCTCAGAACGGTTTCCGATCTCGAGATTTGTTGATAAAATAGCGAATGGAGTGGCCCGTGTTTGTGTATGTGTGTGTCTGTGTGTAAGTTGTGAACCCAGGGGGGGGGGGGGGGGGGGGGGGGGGGGCGTGAAGGATTTTAGTTTTTGCTGGGTGACTAAATGCAAAATAGGTTACACTGCCAAGGTAGAGCAGTCTTGTTTTCTCCCAGTACCTTTTGAAGGTATTTTCAAATGAAGGAAGTATAGTTCGGGAACTTTGCCCCAACCTCAACTGAAGTACCTGAATATTCAGACTTTTAAAAATCTCTAGCTCTAAAAATTGAATTTGATGCAAAAAATGCTTCTTCCCAGTCCTCATAGAATTGCAGATGAAAGGATGACGCCTAAATCTCGCAAATAACCCAAAAAATCTTGAGATCGGAAACCGTTAGGAGAAATAGAGTTCAACTTTATTTTCCCGAACGATCGGAGAAATAGTCACTTCGTTTATTATGGATCTAGATCTACATTGAAATTTTATTAACTCTGTGAATCTTTGGTTTTGGCACTTAGAGTACCGGTAGATCTTAAGAGAGTAAGTTGGAATTGAATGTTAGCGTTTGCATGAAGTACAGTTGAAACTGCCTTAACGGAAACCTGTGTAAAACGGATACCTGTCTTAAAGGAATCTCCCCGCTCCCCTCTTGATATTCCTCTTTAATTACTTGTATAAAACGGAAACCTGTCCAACACAGAAATGGAAAGAAAAATCTGCTCCCTTCCCAGGGTTTCACCTGTCTAAGACGGAAAATTCTTTGCCCGCTCAGCCCTGATTTGAAACAAAACTCGCAAGTTTGGTTCCGCCAGCTATGCCGCTAGGCGAGGAAGGGTAGTAGGGGTGCAATATGGGGGTAGATGTTACCCCATCATGTGAGCCCTGAGCGATGCAGATGGTCAGGGTAGTGTGGGTGTGAAATCTCACGACTGCCCGTGAGAGTGCTCTAGTAGCGAGCCATCACAGAAACTTTCCTGGGTAGCCAGAAGCCAGAGGTGTGAAATTAGTTTGAGTTGACCAATGCCTGCCACCCTGATCGTACAGCCAGCCGAGAAAAGAGTTCCTCGAATCGTTGTTACATGATGGTGGTGAGGGGTGACATTGGTTGACTGTGCTTGTTACAAGTTACACCTGTGGGTGGGGGTAAGGGTGGAAGCAAAGGAGATGTTCAAACGTTTCTGTTTTTAATAGGTCAAACAGTGATCCTATAAAAGGCAAGCACTGGTGGTAATTGGATAAAAGTAAGACTGATGCTTGTCATTATCAGACAAGATAGTAGTTGAGAGGTGTGAAGTTTTTACCACTGCTTGCCAATCGGACAAGCGATCCTTGATCCCACCTGCTGGGCCTTTGAACCCCCCCCCCCCCCCCCCCCCATCTCTCCCTAAATTTCCCTGTCTAAGACTGAATTTTTTTCTGGCTCCCTTGTGGCGATTCCGTCTGTATTAGACTGTATATATGGAGTTGGCTAGATCGATGGTGCCAAAACGGGATGTATACAAGTTAAATGATGTCTTTCTAGAGGCTTTCTTAATTTAGGGCATTCTTCATTTTGTTGTCGTGTACAGCCGAACCTATCCAAGACGACCTCGTGTCACATGGGAGCTAGAGTTAAACATTTTCCGTCTTGGAAGGGAAATTTAGAAGGGTGGGGGGGGGGGGGGGGTTCCATAGGGTCAGCCTGTGTTGGGATCAAGGGTTGTCTGTCAGGTTGGCAAGTCGTTGTCAAAATTTCACACCTCCCACTCCAAAACTTGTGATATAGATCCTAGCCTCTCTAAATTTTATAAATATGGCATGTGGCAGTCTTACTTATCTTATTTATCTCTATTATCACCACTGCCTTCATGTCTTGATTGAACCACTGTTTGACCAATAATAAAAAAACAGAAGTAACGATTGAATCATGTCTCCTTTTTCTGTCCTTAGCCCCACCTGTCTATAATTTGTTACGCTCATAATCAGGCTAAGGCTAATCAGCGACAATCAACCACCAGTGCCACCCCTCCCCTCATTTAAGAACGATTCAATTAACTTTTCTCTTAGTTGGCCATTCGTTCAGGGAGGTAGACAGTGGTCAGATTAGTTTCACACCTCTTGCTACTCAGGGAATTTTCCATGCTGGAGCACCACTCAAGCACTTTACAAGCAGAGTGGTGAGATTTCACACCCGCATGACCCTGTCAATCTGCACTGCCTAGGGCTCAAATGGGCGGGGTAGCAGCTGACCCCCAAACTTCTTTCCTTCTCCCGCCTTTCTTTGCCTGGCAGTGTGGTGTAAAGATTACTGCTGATGGAACCAAACTTGGGAGCTTTTTAGTGCTGATTGGGCAAAGCATTTCATTTTCTGTCTTAGACTGGTCAAAACCCTTCAAAGGGAATTAATTTCTCTGTCCATTTCAGGGTTGAACAGGTTTTCATCTACTGCAGGTGTATCTAGAGGTATTCATCAAGGGGGGAGCATGGAGTTTTGGTTATGACAGGTTCTTGTCTTGATCAGGTTTCCATTGTTATTGTTTTTTTACTCCAAAAGATTCCTAATACCTTGATACACACAAAGTGACAATTAAACCCAGATTCAAACAACAAGTGTTCAAAAACACTTTGAATTCTGGGTGAACCTTGCTATCCACCGTGATGAAATGTTCAATCCTTTGAACCTCGCAAAAGCAGTGGCGAGGTTATAAGATAAAAGTTCACCGGTTGAGTGCCATGGGTCAGTGAACCTTGCTATCTTCCTCCACGTGGTCATTTACTTATCGATTTCACTTAATGTGTTGAGGGACGAAATAATGTTCACCCTTGATGCAAAACGTTAGCTCACTTGCCTGCCGTTAGGACATCATAAAATGACCCAGAGCATGTTTTAAACTTACTTTCTTTTACTTTTTCATCCTCTGTTGCCGTTAAGCGTCGAGGGGAGATGCAGATTTCTATGGTAGGCCAGCTCCGCTGCTTTTTCAGTAGTGATGTTATGTTTTCTTAGGGTTTCCTTGACACCCTTGATCCCCCTTTTGCTCGGCCTTCCTCTTCCTTTTTAGCCTGAGTGCTTGGTGACATGCATAACAGGTGACCAAACCATTTTATCCTCTGTCTTTCTATGTAATGCAGGCAGGACTCAGTGCTGATAGCTGCTCTTACTTGTTCATTTCTCTGCCTGTCTCGTCTTGTAATGTTAAGGGTTTTGCGGAGACATTTCATTTCGCTTGCAGTGGTTTTGCTTTCATGGGTTTTGCTTAAGGTCCAGGTCTGGCACTGATAACATAATATTGGTATGAACATTGAGGTGATAAGCTGTCTCTTTGTGTCCATAGAGATGTTTGGATGAGATAGGAGGGGTGCAAGCTGGAAGGTGACAGCGTTGACTTTTTGAGTTCACATTTCTATTTCTCTGTCTATGGACCCATTTTCAGAAAAAGTGCTGCCAAGATATTTAAAAACTCCTTCACCTGTTTCAGTTGTTAACTATCGACATGGATGTTCGGGGAACTATGGTTTCGGCTCACTTTCATAACTTCTGTTTTTGATGTGCTTATTTTCATGTTGAATTTCTCACAGGTGTTGTTGAGTTCGGTAGTGTGATTTTGGAGGCTTTGTTGGTCATGATGAATAAAACATTGGTCGTCTGCGAACAGAAATTCATTTAGGCTTTCTGGGCTTTGGTTTGCTTCTTGAGTTATTGTGTCCATTTATATTATAAACAGGAGGGGAGATAAAACGCATCCCTGTCGTACTCCAGATCTTACTTTCCAGTCTGTATTGCCTTCCTTCGTTATTACTAAACTTCTGCTGTTGGTATACAGAGCTCTGACATTATCTAACATTTGTCCTCTGACGCCATACTTTTCGAGTGTGTTCCAGAGCTTTGCATGGTTTACTCTGTCAAAAGCCTTCTCCTGGTCTATAAAGACGATGTTGGATTCTTTGTTGTGTTTGATTGTTTTCTCGCGTATCTGTCGTCATGCGAATACGGCATCCGTGCATCCTCTTCCCTTTCGGAATCCAAACTGAGCTTTGCTCAGATTTCTCTCCAAAATAGGTCTTATGCGCTGCTCTAGTATTTTGGTGTACATTTTTCCTGAGTGGCTTAACAATGAGATGGCTCTATATGTTTTGCAGTCGTGTTTTTTGCCCTTTTTTTTCCATAATGGTACCACTATGGCTTTCTGCCAGTCTTCTGGGCATTTTCTTTGTTCCCAGGCTCTGTTGAAAATACGCCTCAGCCACAATGTACCTGTGTTTCCACAAGCTCTTATTATAATGGCTTCCACTCTGATGTCATGTGGTCCTGGGGCATGTTTTAAACACTGTGCATTATTTTAAAGACAACCCAAAGATAGCAAGATTTGTGGAACAACCAAAAGTCACACATACTTTGCTTTGTAAATTGTTCATAACCTTGCTTACCAAAAAGCACTTGTGACTAGAACCTTTCTTACGAAAAAGGGTTTTGTCGCTGACTCAGATTGCACTTAGATTTATCAATACTTCCTTGTAGGATTTTGTCTAAGGCCCATCACAATACATAGTGGACAAAATTTTGATTGTTTACATTGAACATTAACAATATTTGACTGTTGGTAATTTTTTTTCAATTGAGCACCAAGGACTTATATCTCATTTAGTTAAGTAGGTCAGAAGTTTTGTTTTTTCCAAAGTCAAAGGCCAAAACTTGTAGCTTTTCCTTTGTACTTTGTCCTTGCAGAATTTAGGCTTTCAGAATACGTCTGACTCTAATGACCAACCCTTTCATTTGTTTTGTGAGATCTTAAGTCTGGACCCTCATAGTTTGTGAAATATGTTGCTTAGTTTAGTGGTGATAGATTGCAAACAACACTCTCACTTCGCCATTTTTTCTCCATTTAAATTCTTCTTAGCCTTAGAGACGGGAATATTACAGTGTTTGGCTAATTAATGTTTTGCAGTTTTGTTTTTATAATTTTAGGTTTCTTGGAAGTAGGATGAAAATTGATATGCCACATTTATAGAATTGAGAAGATGATAATATTTGATTTAATCGTAGATGTGTTCAGTGTTTTTTCAAAAGCGTATTGTAGTTATTGTGTGTACATTTTGAAATTTACTTAAATACCACCACTGTCTACCCTTTCTTTTCCAGTGTATTATTCAAGTATGAAGGGTGGTCTCTTTCAAGGGAATGAACAAGAAAGAAGTGCGTAAATCGTGTCTATAACTTCTGAACGGAGATGCTTTTCCTGTACATTTTGCTTCAATAACTTCAGAATTTCAGCTATGTCTTGGTGGAATAGTGATTTTGTTTCCCCCAAGTCTACAGGCAAAATCAGCTTAAGACGCATCAACTTATTTTGTCAAGCAGACATTAGTTTTGCCGTAGAACCTTCTTTAAGTAGATGTATACCAGATATAGCTTTGGGAAATATAATGCCTGACAAAACTGACACAGTTTCTTTCAATGATATTCTGAATAAAGATTTCAGTGGGATTGGAATGTCAACTCCACTAGCTAGCAAAACAAAAGGCAACGGATTATTAGGTGATACCGCCATGATACCTCTCAAAGGCAGGAATGGAACTGAACAGATTGATGAAAAAGTTTTAGTTGAGTGTTTTTGGGATAAAAAAGAAAGTGAAGAAGGCGAATGTGGGAATGGTGTCGAAAATGAAGTTAAAAGAGATACATTAAGATCTGTGGTGCCTGGGAATTGTGACAATGTTAGTGTGAGACATTTTGTTACTTACAATGCCAGGTTGCTGCCAATGATGAATAGTTCACAGACTATTAGAGAAGAGCCTGCTGAAACAAGGGATGATGTGTTGAATAATTCTTGTAAAATGGTAAAGACGCTGCCCAGTAACAGAGCTGTTGGATGCCAAAGAGAGGAAGAAAATGTACAACAAAGAAGACATATTTATTCTAAAATTATGGCCCCAGTGAAATCTGGGTATGATGGAACTGATTGTATTTGTTTGACGACTGTGGATCATAACCCAAAAGACAATGGTCAGATGTTGAAGGAAAAGTGTCCTCAATTTACTGGTCCTAATGTAGAAGGAGATTTAGCAGACGCTGCCACAAATGTTAAAACAGAACTTCCTTCCTCATATGCAGATAAAGATTACAACTGTCCATTTGAATTACCTACTAGTACTAGACCTGTGCTACTAACCTTTGTCACAAATGCAGCTTCAGAGAATATAAAGTATCACAAAGTCAAAGATGCAGATCTCAAACTATGCTCTAAAAATTCTCTTAAGTGCAATGAGTTCTTTAAAGGTGACAGAGAGGGTAATTTTCTCAAAACTGAACGAAAGCTTCATTCAAGACTACTTGATGTTTCAAAACACTGTCTCAAACTAGACAGATACACTGAAAATCCGCGGCAAGCTGAAGAAAAGGAAAATGAATTTGAATGTACAGAGAATTTAAAAGTGAAAAGAGTAACAAACAGTATTGAATTGACTTCTTCAAGAACTAAGGGTGATAACTATAGAGGTACAAAGCCACTAGAGAAGAATGAAATAATGGAGGCACATTCTCTAGCTCAAAGCAATATCAGTTTTGCGAAGATGGAGACTGTCAATCAAGATTGTTTGAATGAGAAAAGTGGTGCAGGCCATCAAAGTGGTAGGTCTAAAGGGAATAAAGTTGGAAAAGTGTACTGCACGAGGGCAAGGGCAAAAGCATTGACTGAGAGTATAGAGAAAAGTTTGATGAAAGGCAATTTGAAATGTGATGTGCCAGATTTTAAACCTGTACCAAAAGAACCCATAAATAGTTCGAAAAGAAAGATTTATAATACAAGGGCACTTAATAGGAAACAGAAGATGGAAGCAGAAATGAAAGTTCATTCTACTGCTATAGGTCAGAAAAGTCCTGAAAACGATTACCATGAAGGGCATAATGTGTGTGGAACAAGGGCACGGGAACACAGCGGTATGTCATCACATTCCACAAAGCCGCCTGTATCTGAAATGACATTTGAGACCTTTATAGCATTGAGAACCAAACATGAATCAAATGATGTCTCTTCAATTACTTCAAACTTTGATAAGAAGTTAAGAGAGAGAACACACTACAGTGCAACAGTTAGCGGTGTACCTACCAGTGCAGATAATGGTGAAAAAATGAAAAGTGCTAATTTTGTTTCCAGTCGAGCAGCTGCTATGATTTGCTCCAAGAACACACACTCTTCCGCTGAGAAAGACCAGACAATGGGAAGAGTATTGAGAGAGCGAAAGCCAAAGTCTTCAAATTTTGAAGCTGTACTTCCTGGTTATGGATATAAAAATGTTAAAAAAGTTGGGGAATCAAAGCTGGTGGGGCAAGTAAAGTCAGTACATGTAAAGAAGACTCAAGGAGGAAATGGCACCATGGACAGAAAACGTCAAGTGTGTGCCAAGGCAATCCCTGAAGTCAGGAATGAAATGAGTTCTAATTTAGCTTTAAAGAAAGAGAAGAAAGTCAAACAGCAAGAAAATAATCCAGGGAAAGTAGTCTCTCAAAAGTCTTCAACAGGTCCATCTGACTTTGAGAACAAATGCACAGAAGAAAAAAACCCTTCAAAAAAGCATGAGGAAACACTAATATCGGTTAGTGAACTTTGTTCTGTAGCTGGGGAGAAAAATGTTTCTGATTATCCCCATTATTCTAGTCAACATTTGAGTTTGACAGTTTTAGGGGCAGATACTATACTAAACTGTGACTCTGGTATTCCAAATCAAATTCAGGCAAATCAAAAAAGGTGTGAACAAGCTATGTGTCCTGACATCATTTTGAATAAAACAGTGACAAAACTTCCAGAGAGTGGCTCAGAAATAAGTCATATCAGCTTATCTCAAATGTCAAGAAAGATACCAATAGAAACTCAGGCGTCAAGGCAAAAAACAGACTGTGCCAGGACAAAGGCAGTATTTCTAAAACCAGCTAAAATGAGGCTTACAGATTTTGTTCATTCAAAAAGAGCTGTTCAGTCTGACTCAATAAAGACTGATGTGCCCGTGCAGAAAACTTCCAGCCAGAGAACAGACCTTGTCAAAACAAAGCCGATAGCTCTTGCTCTTAAGCAAGATGGAAAGAGAAATGCAGTTGCAGTGAGCTCCAGAAAAGCTGAAGAGTCTAATCAAATTAGGATTGAGGGATTGAGACCTGAAAGGTCAAGAATAAAAACAGATCCTGTCAAGTCAAAGTCAAAGCTGACAGTTCCAAAAAAAATTGAAAAGAAAAAGACAGTTTTGCTTTGTTCAAAGGCAGCTTTACCGCGTTCTCCAAATAGTGCAACCACCAGCACATCCTGTTGCAGAACTGATTCGTCAGTAAACTTTGTTTCTTCTGATAAATGTGGGATTTCAGAAGTCTTGAATGAAAATAAAAGACAAAGTGGTTCTCATGCAAATTTTGTTTCCTGTCCATCAGCTACAGTGACTGGCAGTCAGAGAACTCATTCTTCCACTGAGGAAGACAAGACCATGGGAAGGATATTGAGAGAGAGAAAGCCGAAGTCTTCCAGCCTTGGGGTTGTGCATCCTGGCAATGGACATGCTATTGTGAAGAAAGTTGGGAAATCTAAGCCTGTGGGCCAAACAAAATTGGTGAAGAAGACTGAAGGTGGAAATGGCCTCTTGGAAATGAAACATCAAGAGTATGCAGAGCTGGAGGCAATCACAGAAATGAAGAAGGAAGTGAGTAGGCCGACTGATTTGACGGTAAAGAAAGAGAAAAAAGTCAAACAGCAAAAAAGTAATCCGGGGAAAGGAGTCTCTCAGAAGTCTTCCACACACACAGGTCCTTCTGACTGTGAGAACAAATGCTCTGGGGAAATACAGTCTTTGGAAGGGAATGAGGAAACACTGATGTTTGTTGGTGCTCATTGCTCTATAGCAGGTGAGTCCTTGTGTCCTCTTCCTAGTCTTTGTTCACTCTAGAGTTGTTTTTATGTCTTTTGTTGTGACATGATCTGTCTTTGATTGCATTGCCAAGATGCAATCTTGAAGGCGCTTTTATCTCATCATGTTTGTTACAAAACTTCTTGGCCGTGACAATGCCTCATTTATTTATTTTTGTTTGTTTGTTTGTTTTGCTTCGTTTCGTTTTGTTTTTTGCTCTTGGTATTTTGGCGAAGATATTATGTAAAGTCACTATTTCTGGCTCTGAGCCATAGATTTTAACATTTATTATTGTTAACTATAATTCTAATTTTGTATCTTTAATGGAGGCAGCTTTCATGAAACAGATGATTATTTCAGTATCAGATGCTAAAGCTAACTATTGTCTTCTCAACAAACTAGAGATTGTATCATGTGCTTTTGGAGCATGGATGTAAGAACATTTGTGTAGAAAAAAGGATTGTTTTAGAATTAGGGGAATCATCACTGTGAGACAAAAAGAAGTAATACAGCAAGTAGTAATGTATCTCTAGTTTCAAAATAAGAAGCAGAAAGGGGCGGGAGTCTCTGGGAGGGAGGTAGTGGGCCATATATACATATATATATATATTTTTAAAAATATTTTTGAAAATTTTTTATTCTACACACTCACAAGACTAGCAAAACCTTCACTTTCAAGGAATTGTAAATGTAATTTTTGTACTTTTGTGCCACAGGTGGTGTCAGCAATGCAGTAAAAGAGGCAAAATCTCTAGGTGCGAAAGCTTTTGGTTTGTTTGTGCGTAATGGCAGGACTTGGAAACTCAACGCTTTAAATGAGAGTGAAAGTGAGAGGTTCAAAGCTGCGTGTAAGGTCAGTATAACTGCGTACATGAAGAAGTTAATTACTTACTATCTGTTACGCCATCTGGCGTTTAGGGTAGAGACGGGCGGGAAGCACTTTTTTCTTCCCGAGCGAGAAGACCGAGAAGCTGACCTTCTTCTCGCCGGGACCGGTACCGTAGTGCTTCGTCTCGTGACCAATTTCTCTTCTCGCGCCATTCACGAGACGCTCACTAAGCGAGAAGGCCGGCCGTGGCTGGGGCCTAAACTAGGCTAGCCCTTTTGCACAGGCGCAGGCGGTGAAGGAAGGTCGGGAGACATAGGCCTAGGCCTGATCAACTCCCCACTCGCCTCATCTCGCCACCCTCTCCCCTCCCATTCAGTTTCAGACACAGGACGGCACGGTGATGGGTGACACTGTCTGCGTGTCCTTTCTCGCTGGCTGTGCCGCTCTTTCCGTCGACACCTCCCACTTTCTCAATCTCGTTACTCGTTATGTCAAGCCAATGAGCGGTATCACTTCTCGGTACCGGGCAGTAGTTTAGTGGCCGAGCAGTGACGGGAAGGGCATTTCTCTCGAGAAACAGGTACTCTTCTCAGCTCGTGCCCGCTCTTAGTTTAGGGCAGCAACAATGGATCTCCAGTTCTGTCTGTTTTGGGCCATCTTGGTCAATGTCCCCGACGAATGGTTCCAGGACTTCATTTCAGACTCAACTGTGCGTCTCCAGGTCACTTTGGGTCTGCCTCTCTCGCGATGTCCTTTGGGTGTCCTGTGGAGGGCAGTCTTTACAATAGAGTCTGGTTCTCTTCTCAGAACATGCCCAATCCATCTCCATCTTCTCCTTGTTATTATGGTGGTCATGACCTCTTGCCTACATTTTTGTAAAAGATCTGCGTTGCGTTGGAAATTTTGTCGGGCCAGAAGATTCGGAGGATTTGGCGTAAGCTGGTTGTATGAAAGGAAGATAGCTTGACACGGTCATGATCACTCATCCTCCAGCATTCAGCTCCATATAGGAGTGTGGATAGTACGCAGCTGTTATATAGCTTTAACTTGGTCTGTATACTGAACTGTCCTGACTTCCAGATGTTGATTATGCTTCTGTGAACAGATCTTTCCTTGCCGGGTCTGTTCATGATGTTTTCCTTTGTGCCGCCGTCTGTTTTAATTATGCTGCCTTGGTAGGTAAATTTGTCTAATAGGCAGGTCTGCGTTGTTCCCCCTAATCAGCGATGGGGAGCCTGCATTTAGTGTCATCACTTCTGTCTTCTTCTGGCTTATTCTTAACCCAATCTGGGGTCTGTATTTGTGAAGTCTGGTTTGTTTTTTCCTGCATGTGGTGGTTGATATGGGAGAGTAGTGCGAAGTCGTCGGCAAAATCAAGATCCTTGAGGGTGGAGAAGAGGGTCCACCTGATGCCTCTCTGTCGTTTTCCTCGTGACCTAGTCAATGGCAAGTTGAACAAAATTGCTGACATTTGCATTCTTCTCTAACTCCTGTCTTTACCTCAAAAGCAGTAGTACTGTTTCCAATGACACACTTGAAAATTTGGTAGAAGCTCTGGATGACCTCAACTATCTTGCAAGGGATTGCATAAGCTCGTAGAATGGACCAAAGACTTTCTCTATGCACACTGTCGAACGCCTTTTCAAAATCAACGAAGCTGACATAAAGTTGTCTCTGCCATTACGTGCACTGTTCTATTTAATTATGTTGCGGAGGGCAAATATCTGATCTGTGTATCTTCTTTCTTTTGTGGAATCCTGCCTGTTCTTTTCTTAAGCAGCTGTCCGCTACATACGATTAATAATAATCTTGGCCACGATCTTGCTGGGCACTGATAGCAACATGATACCTCTCCAGTTGTTGCAGTCTCCAAGAGCTCCTTTCTTTGGTACCTTAACAATGACTCCAGTGCTCCAGTCTTCGGGAATCTGCTCTCACTCCCATATGGTTTTGAATAGTGGCTGAAGAATGGTGGCAGTCAGTTCTGGGTCTACATTAAACAATTCAGCATTCAGGTTGTCCTTTCCTGGAGATTTTCTTGATTTCAGGCTCTTAACAGCTTTTACAATCTCGTGTTTTTGTGGTGGGTTAGAGCTGATATCAAGATCCAAGGTAGCTTCCTGTATGTCTGGGGTGTCCTCAGGTGGAGGTTGGTTAAGGACTTCCCTGAAGTGTTCTATCCAGAGTGCTTCTTGTTCTTTCTCGATTGTCAGCAGCTCGCCAGTCTTGTCCTTGATTGGTCCACTCATTCCACTGTGGTACTTGCCACATATTATTCTTGTGATCTTGTATAGATCTACGTTGCCTTGTTCACCTTTAGCAGTTGCCTCCTCTGCCTCAGTTGCCAACTCTTCCATGGCTTCTCTTTTGTCCTTCCTGACCAGTCTTGTAACTTTCTGGCAAGCTTCCTTGTAATCCTCTGCGTACTTCTCTTGTAGCCATATCGACTTAGCTGCAAGCTGTCTTTTCTTGATTTGTCTCCGTTCTTCAATAGTTTCCCATGTTCCTTGTTCTATCCATTCTTTGTTTGCATTCTTTTTCTTGACACCAAGACATGTCTTATTGCTCTCTGTGTAGGCCTCAACAATATGCTTCCTTTGGGTATTGACTTCATCTGCATTGGGGGTGGTTTCTTCCAGGTCTTGGATAGCTTGAAATCGGTTCTTTAGCTCTAGTTGAAAGGCAGATTCTCACATTGCCATCACTGAGCTTTTGAACATTAAGTCACGTCCTTGTCACCTCCCTGGTGAATGTTTTCTTCAGCTTGTGTTTTATCCTTTCCGTCACTAGATGATGATCGCTGTCGACATCTGCTCTTCTTCTGACTTTCTCATCCTGAAGGGAATGTCTCCACATTCCTCCTATCATGAAGTGGTCAATCTGGTTCTTGTCTCGGCCATTTGGAGAATTCCAGGTCAGTTTGTGGATTGTACGGTGTGGGAAAAGGGTTCCGCCTATTACCAAGTTGTTCAATGCGCAGAAGTCCACTAGTCTTTGACCGTTCTAATTTCTCGTACCCATACCATGTTGTCCCATCACTCTCTCATAGTTGGTGTTATCCTCTCCTACTTTAGCATTCAGATCGTCCATTACAACGATAAGGTCGTGACGAGGTATACCTGTCAATTCCCTTTGCAGCTGTTCATAAAAACAGTCCTTGCTTTCATCTTCACTGTCGTAAGTAGGGACGTAACATTGGATGATGCTTGTGTTGGTGTGCTTTCCCTTCAGTCTCACTGGCATCATTCTGCTGTTGATCGGTTTCCACTCTATGAGGCATTTCTCAAGTCCCTGTTTTAGGATGATAACTACACGTTCCCTATGCTGGTTGTCTTCTCTGCCGGAATAGATCAGTGTTTCTCCAGTTGCTGTTCTCAGCCTGCCGGATCCTGTCCAGTGACTTTCACTTATGCCCAGAACGTGCAATCTATATCTCCTCATCTCTGCCGTTACTTGTGCCAACTTACCAGTTTTGTACATTGTCCTTACATTCCACTGTCCTATGATGACTTTTGTCTTTGCGGTGTTCAGGTCCTCCATCTTCCTGCAAACAGCTTCCTTGCGGCTTTCACTGCCGGTATTCATACGAGTCCCAAGAGACTGAAGGTTCATTACACACAGAAATATGGTTCTCTTTGTTTCTGTTTCCGTAACATAGGATTTTTGCCAGTCTGGGTTGTTAGCCTTGAGCTGAACCTCCGAAACCTGGAGAGCCGGTGGATCACGCTTCGTCTGACCCCCACCCGTCAACCTGTCTGGCATGGGTGGCCCTACCAGGAGCATTAGCTCTTGGGGTGACTGAGGCACACAAGCTCTCTAATCACTACAAGGTAGTGACCCACTAGAGAGACATGAAGAAGTATCACACTGTAATTTGCTTTGATATATATATATATTATATGTTCTTTTGGAAACCCAGCAAAAAGGTTGGCGAGTATGCATTTGTGGTTACTTCTCCAATGTGAAATTGAGTCTCTGAATTTTTAATGGGTTTTTTTTTCATTTCATCCTCCTTTATACAGATGAAGAAGAGGTGGGGTTGATAAGTTGTTGAAGGGCACCTCTGGAAAGTCTTTCTTTTCCTCTGTTGTTTCTGCCCATTTATGTTGTTTTTTCTTTCCGATTACAAATATTGAATATTGTCAATGTCTCTCCTCCGTCTTTTCTTTGTATGATGCTCACTAGTGACCTCTCTAATCTTTAGCACACGTACATATGAGTTAATTGTGTTGCAAGTCCCATAAAACTCTTACTAAAACTACAAAAGAAAAAAATGTTCCTCTTAAACAGAGATTACCTCTTCACCTTGGCTATGTTCTGCTAGACTAAATAATGAAATGTATACACTTATGTTTTCCGGCAGGAACATGGCTATTCTCCACATCTTATTCTGCCCCATGGCTCTTATTTGCTCAACTGTGGATCATCAAATCCAGACACATTGAAGAAATCGCGAGACACTTTGGTCCATGAATTGCAGATCTGTGAAAAATTGGGTCTGACTCTTTACAACTTCCACCCAGGTGAGCATTTTGTCTCTTTTAGTGTAGAATTGCTGGCTTTGCTCTGATAAGGTTATTCCATGATACTGAAATGTGAACATTGTAAAATATGAAAGATTTCAACTCATCCCCTATTTCTTCACTTCCTTCCCTTATTCCTTGTGCCCCTTTGAAAAGAATAAGCCCATTGAGTTTGTCTGATGCTCCTTGTCTTATTATATTTTTTTATATTTATCCCCCGGGGCAGTGCCACTGACTGTAGTGTCTTTAGGCCATTCCCAAAGGGGGGACATTTCTCGTTCAAGCACAGTAGAATTGTAAATGGGCTGATTCATCATGTCACGCTCATAACTGTGCCTGATCTGCAACAGGGAACTGCTGCTTTTTCTTTCCTAATCCTTACTATTGTCATTTTCCTTTACTTCTTTTGTATGTTTGTAATACTCTTGTGACCCACTATTTCCTGGGTGCCTTGATAATTAAAGCAGACTTTGTGCTTTTGAAGCTAGAGAGGTGAGCAGAGTAAGTCTGATTCCCTGTAAGGACTTCTCTGCTGACACCCACCCCTTGGCGCTTATATGACCTTATGCAGTTGTGAGCGCCGTAAAACCCTCTACTAAAAAAAAAAAGTACCTTTTTGTGTAATGGTGCATCTTCATTGTTTCATATTGAGGGAAGCCATGAAATCTTTTTGTGAATTCACTACTCATAAGAAGAGCAATAAAGTTCGAAACATGATTAAGATTCTTATGAAGCTTTTGAATTGTTTTTGGAATGTTGTGAATTCTACCAGTAGATCATGGCTCAAGTTGGGAAAGTGGTAAAAAAGGTTTCTAGGGGGAAACCACATTTCTGTTTCTTTTGATTCACTAGACAATTTTTTAATTTAATTTTTTTTTGGTCCCGTGTCCTGATTTTGGTGACCGTATTTGTTTGTTACGTAAAAAGAATGTTATGACATGGTTCAAATTGTTATGATTTCTAAAGAAACGAAACAAGGGAAAGGGGAATTGTTACGTCAGTAATCATGATGATGATGATACCGCTGATGATGTTCTGATGTAGGAAATGACCTGCTTATTAGTCTTAGTGTTAAGTTTGTTTGGTGCTTACTCTAGATCCCCGCCAGGCTGTCCTGGGGGCAGGACACAACCCTCATTCCCAACTCCTCGCTTAGAGTGACCCAAAATTTGGAAATCATTCGTCATCTTCATCCCTGGCATTTAATAAAAGTATACCAAAAAATCACATTGGGGCTACTTCTAAGTGATGACATTGTTAGTGTGTTTGTTACCCTACGTCTATGATATCATATTTTCATTAGACAATGGTTAATGTCTGATTTACACTTATTTGACTTATTGTAATCGTAATCACATTTTAAAATATAAATATATGTGCTTTTTTTGCCCCCTTTGACAATTTAGATCATTTAGGATGTAGGGCCAACACAGACTAAGAGGGATACAACATAGTACCAGAAAGACTGAGATACTCAATAACAATTTTCCCTACTTGCAAATCACACTCAAGTTTCTTGTGTGACAGCAAAATGCCTACCACTACATCACAGATGCGGGTATTGTATTCACTATGGTGATAAATGTGAAATTGTAGTTTATCGTTGTAAAATATGAGAGGATTTTTTGCTTACTTATGGTGTTCTCCAATATCTTTGTTAAGAAAAGGGGACCTCCAGTCTGTGGGAGAGCCACTGGGAAAACCCAAAAAATAATAAACTATATGAAATAAAACCAAAACTAGAACAGCGATATCCTTCGGACCTCTCCAGAAGAGACGAAGTCATTTTTACTCGATTGCGCATCGGACACACGGCCCTGACCCACAAATACCACCTACAGGGAGATGAGAAGCCGTTCTATGTCGGATGCGACACAGATTGTACCATTAGACACATACGAATGTCTAGACTTTGGAGAGATCCGAAGGAAATATTATAAATGCAAGAAATTGCAAGATATCTTTTCCGTCGTTGTTCCCAGCAAAATTTTGAATTTTATAAAGGCCATTGGCCTTTATGGCAAGTTGTAAAATGAAAAATGAAAACGTACTATTTAAAATGTTTATTGTTACCTATAAGAGTTGTTTTAAATCACAAATATATTTACACTGAATTTTAATATTTTAACATTTTAGCATTTTAAAGTCAATCAGTTAACCAATCGTGGAATGAACTTTTGCGAAAGTAAACAACTTGTGTTTCGCGCGCTCATATGACCTTAGCAGTTGCGAACGCTGTAAAACCCTATACTACATACATGATACATAGAAAAGGGGTCAATTTACATTTTTGTTCTTTTTTTAAAAACTGTTTTATTTTGTGCTGACTCCACAAACTAAACTATGCAGGCTCAGCATGTGGCCAAGGGACTGTGGACCAGTGTATTGATACCATTGGGAAGAGCATCAACCTAGCCCACAGCAAGACAAAGTTTGTTAAAACTGGTGAGACTTCTTTCATAATGCCAGGTTCTTTTTATGCCATTTATATGTATGTAATGTATATTTCCGTATTGTAAATTTTATATAATTGTTTCCTAGTGCTTAGCATTTGTTTCCTTTACTGCCTCAGAAAAATTGTGCCAGGAGCTTACATTTTTATCTTTTACCTTTGGGCTCCCAATGTGATTCAGGTACACCTACTCCTTAAGCATCATATGCTGAGTAGCTTAATGTATTCATTAGATATATTATGCTACTCCAGACATAGTTCACCCAAGTATGGGTACTTGCTGAAAATGTCTCCTGGCAGTTGACAAGCAATTTTTTAGATGTTGCTATTGGTGCTGATAAAATTGTTTTGATTTGTTTTTCAAGAGGTTCTTTTAGAACAGTTTTCTCCTGTTTGTTTACAATATACATCATTCTGCAGGAATATTATCGCCATATGCTCAGTATATATCTGTGCTTCTCATCTTCCGTATTTTTACGGAAATCCGTACTTTCTGACAGTTTCGTACTTGCTCCCCCATCATTATCAACTCCATCCGTTAAAATAGTGGGATAGCGTAGGGCTACCGAGATTCTGGGGCAAAGGATCTCTACTCATCATCGTATCATCTTGTATAAGTTAGGTATAATGGTAATTCTGTCGGCAATAGGTTAATGTTATAGAAACCTGCCAGACCCGGGAGTATGAGGAAATCTGTGAACTGCCCCGTGAAAGACCCTCGAAAATACATAAAGTTCTTGAATATTTTGAAAACCAAATCGGATAGGTCAGTAAATTAATTTTTCCCGGTCACGATTGTGATGTTTGTTCAGCTTTTCGCAGTCCGAGAGTACGTTTCTTGCGAACAGGCGGCTATGGTGCCAGGCGGAAGTGTATGTGACACTGAGGCTTGATCGGGAAAATCAAGATCTGCTTTCGCTTTTGTTACCACCCTGAAATTTGCCAGTGATAGTCTGATACCGCAACATTTATGACATGCAGGTCGTGCATTTTAACTCTTTTTATCCTAGCCATACCCCCACGGACTCTGTACCAGTCCTTGGGCCGCCGCGCCGTATGAGTCGGAAGTCAGTGCGTATAGTTCAAAGTGCTATATTTCTTACATTTACTCTAAGATTTTTAGGAAATTTGGCAGTTATGTTAGAAATTGAATGTAGTTTTTGTAAATGTATGTGGTTAGGAAATACACCAATAGCACAATGTAGATTTTGAGGTGTATTCCACCCTCGAACTTGACCCTGATTGCCGCGCCCACAACGTCCCATTGGATTTTATAGATCTAGATCTAGCCCTACCCTTCGAGCACAAATTCCAGTATTCACCCCTTCGCCATGATCTGAATCGCTATTAGATGAGTCTAAGTCCTGTTTCTTATCACCCAGAACGGAATTTACGGCACTTATTTCAGAGTCACTTTCATCAAATTAGTATCATTCCCCCTCACAACCCAGCGCCACTTCAAAAAGTACTTCGTCGGTCGTGAATGTGCGTTTTCGAGACATCTTTCAAGCTTCTACACCCATCAAAAACAAAGAAACCACAGTTCATTGGAAAATTAAAATATTCAGACAGAGTTAGCATCGCCGTATTTGCGTATTTTGGTAATTACAAGCAGAACTAGCTTCTTTGACATGACCGTATCGCTGTTCCGAGAATACTCGTAGCCCGGACTGGTCCTCGTTACGAGTATACTCGTACCCCGGATAAAAAGAGTTAAACGCTTTGTCGCCCCGCATATAAATCAATATTTGTCACTGTATTGTCACTTGTAAGAAAATAAAGTAAAGAAAAATATAAGCGTCATCCGATTTTCAGCTTGTCAGGCTGGTCATCATGACCAGTCAGTGAACCTGCGCGTGTTTGCATCGCTTGATACAGCAACGTGTGAGTACCGGCGGTTGTTGAAGTTGCCAAAGTTCATTCAAAGTCTGAGCGTCGTGAAATATGGCTCCGAAATGGGATTTATTTTTTAACACTTTCCCATCGCAAAGCTCATGTATAGTAAAAACTCTTTCCATCAAAGGGAAAGGCATTTTGGGGAAAATCCAAAGAAAATGCTTGGTAAACGTCGCGGATAGGCGAGATAAGGCGGCAAGTGTTAAAGATACACTCAGAGGTGCTGAAGGCAACTTGATAGCAAGTTTTAGAATTTTGATTAGAGCTCTCTGCAAAGCGCGCTTTGGTGCAAGCCTTGTGTGGAATCAGGATCCGCCGTACCTTGTAAGCCTTGTTATATTTAACTAAAGTGTTTGCGCTTCATCGGATGGGTGCTAGTGATAGTAAATTATTACTATATTTTAGCTTTCTGTTCAAGATTGGCAGATTTTCAGTGTTATTGCATCTTGCCCTCCCTCAGTTCTTACAACTCTCACACTGATATGTCTACTTGAGCCATTCAAGTTATTAATCTAATTTGAGTTTGAGCAATAATCTTGATGAAAAAAGTAGGTGTTATGGGTTGTTGGTATTCTCTTCAAACAGGCTCCCAAATGCCATTTTTAACCCTCAAAAAGCACTAAATTTCAATTTCTTCGGGGGCTTCGCCCTCTGAACCCCCACCGGGATGCTGTCCCTGGACCTTGCTGGAAGCCTTTGCAGCCCTGAAACCCCCAGCAGAATTTTCCTTACTCTTCATCTTCAGCCGTTGGAAGCACTGATATATGTAGCTACCTGAAAACAGTATCATAAGTGCAATAATGTCAGTGTCATAACAAGGATTTGGGACGTTTTTAGTACTTGTCTTCTTGAAATGTACACCCTTTGACTGCATGGAGCTGAAAAGGGACATGAATATTGTTCCGTACAAGCAGGAATGCTGTTAAAGTTTGGTGCATAGGTTTTTGTTAGTGGAAAAAGAAAGTTTAATTTCATTTATTTTCTTTACACTCCGTAAAAGCAATTGACATTGCTGTTTCAGATCAAGTAGTCTTTGTCGTCTGTTGCCAAGGCATTTATGATAAAACCTGAGTTGTTGCCATCCATTCTTTGATGACTATCCACCTTTATGTCTTTGTCTTTCTCTGTCTGATATCATTCATGGCAAATGGATGCTGTGGTGCTTGTGTACAGTTTGCTCCTTCCTCTTCTCCCGCACAACAACTTGGTTGCCTTTTGTGGTTGTTTCCTTGATGTTTTGCTCCATTTATTTAATTTTTCTACCTTTCCACTTTATCTTACACATGTTCTTCTTTAGTTATGTTGATAGTAATACAGTCAGGCACAGATAATACGAGCACGGAAAATTCTTAAATCAGGGATAGCTCATAGAATTTGCCTTTTCCGGACTGATACATCTTTCATTTTTTTATCAGTTACCCTGAATTATGGATGTGTCGAACACATTTTTCAATCATTGATGTGTTTGTGTTTGTTTGAGTTGTTTGTGCCCAACTGTGCTTCTGTTTGAAGTTTGTGTTTGTGTACATTGCTTAAATTCACATTGTTCTTTATTTCAGTAATTGAGAATATGTCATGTCAAGGCCAGACTGTTGGTGGCAGGTTTGAAGAACTGAAAGCTATCATAGATAGAGTCAAAGACAAGACCAGAGTAGGGGTTTGCTTGGACACTTGTCACGCCTTTGCAGCAGGTAAGGATTTGTATCAATTTTGTGTAAGCTTCATCAAATTGATATTTTTAATAAAATAACAATGCGGAGTATAAAAGTAGCCGTTATTCAACTCTATTCAGTTGTATGTTGTATGGGGCCATATTTTGGGTTGTCATTGCTCTATGTTGCTGCATAAAGTTATTTTTTGATAATAACCAACTTGTTAACTCTTTATCTCTGTGGGGGGTAAACTCACTACACTGGGCCCCCTTTTTGGTACCAAATCTAAAAATGACAAAAACGTCAGTAAATGGGTCATTAGATCAAATAAGTCAACCTATTTTCACAGTTCTTCATCTAATGAATGAACTCCTGATAAAAGAGACCTATTGCCGAAAAATAATTTGGTGTCAAAGAGGAATGTGCCCGGGCTCGGCTCACAGGCAGAGAGGTTCCGACCGTGAGCCGCTGGGAGTGGCTTGCCAGAGATAAAGAGTTAAAACACAGATTGGAATGAAGTAATGTGCTTTCAAAGCTTGTTGCTTTACACAGATTTTCAGTTTGCTCTTAATGATCTTCTACTTTTGTGAAAAATCACTGTTGTTTAGATTTTTTAGTAGCTTTCTGGCAAGGATAGTCATTTATATGGTATACAACGCTGATTAGTAAGTGCTTGTTCATATTATGGTCTTTTCCGTGAAGTGCAGTGAGATTTCACAGAGTAGAAATGCACAATATAATATTAATTTGTATAATCCAGCATTTTATTTTTTTATACTTTAAAATAATGATAGAACGTTATTTTCTTTGTGGGACGAGTTACACTCTTCCTTTGTGTCCTTTCAGGGAACCTTGTGCTTTCGTCATAGATATTTTGAATCAGTTGTGCTTACAGTTCTTCAATTTTTACTAGGGATTGATTTGGTTATTGTTTTACTACTTTCCTTGGCGTACCTGTCTGCTGTAGCTTTCTTCAATGGATAGTGTTCCTTTGTCATGCACAAGAGATGACTTGGTGCAGTGGTCCTATTTGAAAAGAGTCGTGTGAAAATAAATTCAAAGTTGGTTTTACTACTAGTTGACAACATATTGTTATTTTATTAAATGTTGACTTCCTGGTAAGGAACATGTGTATGTTTTTAAAGTCTTTCTGATTAGTTTAATAAAACTACTCATATTATTATATATAATGCGTTCAGATTTTCAGCGGTACCACTATGTGATCAGTGATCATGAATATTGAATTGTGTGCCATCATGGCTTTACAGATGGCATTATACAGAGTTCCTTGCGTTTAACAATAACAGAGTTCCTTGTATAAGCTTAATTTTCTTTGTTGTAAACTGTCACTGTCAGTCTTTTGTCAAGAAAAGTGAGTAACCCAGTTTGACCCTGCGTCACTGGGTTAGGAAAAATTTTGAGTTAATCGTATTCATTTTTCTTACCACACCACTAATGTTCTTTTCTTCTCTCTTCCATGCAGGCTTTGATTTGTCTTCTGAGGAGGGATACACAAAGATGATGAATGACTTTGAAGAGAAGATTGGTCTGAAGTATCTCAGTGCTGCCCACCTCAATGACTCAAAAGGTTACCATTTGCCTCTTGATGATTTTTTGTTAGAGAAAACTGTCGATATCTGTGGATTTTCAGTCAGCATCTGGCGCTGACACTGCTCTTTGTGAGAAGAAAAAGTATAGGCTTAGTCTGTACTCTTTCAGGTTAGAAACTTCCATCCGTCATATTTTCTTTTAGTTGATCATTCTTGCTTTAAAAATGTCTGCTTTGAAATGAAAGCGTAAAGCACATTTGGGCACAGATAACTCAAACTCATTGAGGATTGAAAATGTATTTGACACTCATCGATAATTAGAGTAAACTGATCGAAAGAAAGGTTGGAGAGATATTGAAGAAAATCAAGGGAAGTAGCTGTGATGGTACAATGGTTGAAAAATAAATTACGGTTACGAATTTTCTACAGCTTTTTGAATGATAAGGCCATATCTCTTTGTGAAAATATTCAACCTTCCTGTGTTGCTTATAAAGTCAAGGCCAAGTTTCTTTGCAATTTCATCTGGTTTTTTTAAGTTAAAATGGGACAAGAAATAGGAAGAGACAAGACACATGCTTCTCAGTATTTTCAAATTCGGCAAAGTGCAGTTGCTTTCTGAAGGGTTGACTTCCAATGTTCGATTTTATCTCAATTTGTTTTTTTAGAAATGTTGAAAACATTGATTTGGGGATGCCAAATCTCTTACAAATTTCTGTTTTCACGCAGTACTTCTACTTCTCATAACCTCTGCGAAAATCTGATGCCTGGTTTCAGTTGTCATGCAATAGTTTTCTCTTTTCTGCCATCATGAAAAGTGCCTGATATCGATAAAAGGATAGAAAAATGGATATGTTTGCACCTTGGTCAGTGTTGAAGCAAGCGATAAAGAGAGAGTGTTGCCAACAGGCTTACGGCTAAAATAAAATAGCTCTTACATCAGATCATGATCATGGCGATGTAACCAACACTGGCCAGAGCATGCCACCCACCCTTCTTGTGTAATACTTTCTCAACTGGTACCGTTCAAACAACTGCTCACACACATATTGATACTCAAACATGTAGGCTACACATACACAAACATAATTCACTCTCCACATGGCCTAATGCAGCACCACACTGTCTGTCTTTAATCACATCTCACTATCCAGTATCCACCATCATATGAATAGATTCAATGAGTTCTAGTGCCTTATGCAAAGGTAATGGTGCGTCTCAATACCGGCACGTGTATCAAGCAAAAACAGTTTTTCTTGTTTTAGTAGACTAAAATTGCCAGCAGCATCTTTCAGTGTAAGCCTATGTGTGGTTATTTTTCTTTTTTTTTGTCTCACGTTTTGGATCCCCAGGTGAACTTGGCTGTCACCTTGATCGTCATGAGAATATTGGCAAAGGTCGCATTGGCATGGATGGATTTCGAAGAGTGATGAACGATCCACGATTTAGGAACATCCCAATGATCCTGGAGACTCCAGTGGGCGACTATGCTAAGGAAATTCAAACCTTGTATCAGCTCACAAAGTGAAGAGAGCACATAATCCATATATATTATATCTCTATGTCAAACAAAAGACATTGGCATACCTCAGTGGTGCTCTTTGGTTGTGGTGTCAAATTAGACACAGCCTTCCTTGAGAGAAGCACCTGAGATTTTAACTCAGGGTATTTTTTTAATTTAGTAATTCGTTCCACATTTCTTTAAATCAGTATTATTTGCCTCCTGTTTGACCAATTGCACCCCTTTTTGTGGATGTGAAGTCTGCATAAATGGTAGTTTCGCTTGAATAGGGAGATCTGATGGCTCTTGCTAATTTTTAGGTATCTGCAGGGAGTGTGGGTTTGTTAGGGATAAGTCTGGACTCTGCAGAAATAAGGAATTTTAAAATCTAAGAATGACATAATTATTATCATTTTTAATGTTTTGATAAAGAGACAAGTGCATTATTCTTTTTAATTGAAAATGGCTCATTATCGTGACCAGTTCTTCTTTGCTTTCCTCAAATGGAAGTGGCCTGATCATTTTCACTTTCCATTGAGATTGTCTTTTCGTGAAGTTTCCTAGTTTGCAGAATATATTTCGCAGCAAAATAGATCCCTAGAATTTTATCTTTGGCAAGTTGCATGTAAAATTAAGAAGCGATTACTGGTACTAACACTCACTGAGAGAACTGGTATCAAGTGAAAATTCAAGCTTAAAGAAGCATTTTAATTGGGTACTCAAAACAGACCTTTGTGCCACGAGCGGAGGGAAAGATGGTTTTCCACACAACTTTATCAACAAGTAAAAAGATTTCTATTCCCTGCTCAGAGAAACAAAATGCAACCCAAGAAAGAGTGTCTTTTTGTTGTTTCTTTCGAACAAGTGACATATAAAAGATCTTATGTGGTGCTTGCAAATGAAACAAAACTGGGAGAGTGACCTCCTTTCTGATTTCCACACACCTTGTCACATCTCTGCTTTGGGATATAATATCATATATAAAAAGTCTCCTTCTCTCCAGTAGTGATTGAGCTTCCTAACAATATTATACCAAAAATATTATTAGTAAATTGAGTAAAAATTATAAATTAGTTTAAAAAAACAAAATTGTTGAATTTTCATAGAAAATACATGTTTCAGCGAGTCTGGTACGGTATCAAAATGAAGATAAACGCCATTTTTTAAAAACAGAAACTGAGAAAACTAGGTCAAAGTCTAGTGTACTGACACAGCTTGCTGTGTGAAAATGTATGCTTTCTTCCATTGTTAGCTGGTATCATTTTGTAGGCTGGCTTTCACCAGTGGTCAGCTTCTCAGGCTGCTCGGGTCGCACTGACCAGAGCCCTATTTGAAAAACTGACAAATGCACACCCAAGCGCTGTTTCTTAAACAACTAGTTCAAAAGCTTGAAAGGTTGCAGTGGAGAAAACAACTGGGTGCATTTTATGCGCTTTTTCTCAGAATGTGTTAAGAATGTTCAAGAGCATGGGTACGCTACTTTGTTCACAAGACTTCTTCAAAATCGGCACTTATTCAGGTGTGTGACAATGACATAATTTTTGCATTTTTTCCTTAACAGCACAAAATCTTTCATTACTATCCGATTGAGCTAAAAAAAATGCTTGAAATAAAAAATCAACAGACTGGAATAATATATTTCAAATTGCATTTTTTAAATAAATTGTTTTTTAGTTAAGTTCATGCCGGCTTTAAGCTCAGTAATCAGGAGAAAGCGTGAACGTGCTTGAGTGCGAAGTAGACATTGTCATTATAATCCAGAGATTTTTATGTAGAAAATGTCCTTAGTGATTTCCCTTTGTTCATAAGTAGTGGTTGCACAAAAGTGTGCGCGGGCATTTTTAGCTGCCATGATAGTTTTTGTTCCTTTTGTTTGTGGGCAAATGGGAAAGGAAAACTTAATTTAGACAGCCAGTCACGATACAGTACTCTAGGCCCACGCACTGCCTGTGTGTACCACTGCCCACTGTGCCACATTCATATCATCGCCTTCATCATCCCACCTCGCGTGTGATACATAATCGGGATTATCGGATAGCAAGGGACAAAGGTGAAATCGCAGCCAGCCTCCCTTTCCCGACTCCCCGACTCTTTGTATTTTTTTCGTCTGTGTGTAGCTTTGCCCTAGGCTAAATTCTATGTCCACGCGCGCGGCTGTGTGCATCTCTCTGCCTTCCTCACCGCGCGCTTATGTGTGTGTCTCCATCACTTGCGTTCTTTGTGTTTCTCTTAACACACTCACTGCTGCGGTGTAGACTGTGTTCCAACTTTGGTGGGTCATCATGAAAGTATTGACTGTCTTGTAAGTGAAGCGTGTTGGAAGCCGAAGTTACCGTGCTTAAAAGGCGTGTAATTTATACAGAAAAAATTCTGTAAGAGCCATTTAGCATGCTTGAGTCCGAAGGGTGTTTTATGCCAGCACGAACTGTACCTACTATAGTCAGCCTGCAGCGTAAAATAGGGTAGAATAGATCAAATAGGATTCAATGTATAATTTGTGTAAGCAGAGATGATGAGGTCGCTCGTCATTAGTCTATGTCATGATGCTTTCTCCATGTTGGGCTCATCTGCTATACTATAGACTTCTCTTCCTTACCAATCAATTAGTTTCATCATGTCTTGGATTTGGTTTGATCAAGTCTAATTTTTTGTACAAGTTTTGCTTGTGGTTTGTTTATGTTAAAATTCTGTTTCTTAAAAGTAGAGAGAATGCTGTTTCTTTGTGAAAGCTTTGGCTGTAATACAAGATAGGGAAGGTGTAGCTTATGATTGCTGTGGTGGAATTTAATGAAGAAAATCACTGCTATTGCTGATTGCTTTTATCAAATAAATTCTATTTAAAATTTCATTTGACGTTTTTTTGTTGTTGCTTTTTTGAGTGTCGTAGTGTAATAGTGGACAAGAACTATAGGTTGCTCAAATTGCTGGATATCTACATTTCTTAAAGGGCAGACAGTAGGCAGTGTCTTGTGGGTGTGCTAATAACTGAGTTGGTATTGTGTTAGAGTTAGACTACGTGGGTGGTTGGCGGGTGCTCTGGTGTGCTTTGCTTCTTCTTTCTTATCAAACATCTATCGTCTTTATCTCCCCTCTTTCTTTTTTATGTTTGTTACTCTCTTGTTACACCTCTAATCTTCTGGCGCTCATATGACCTTATGCAGTTGGAGTTGGGAACGCCGTAAAACCTCTACTAAAACAAAGTTAGACTTAGACTACTATGTGTATAGCTCTTTTTCAAATATGAGGATGGTCTTATACTCGAGGATATATGAGTTTTCATGACTTCTAACTTGGCTCAGTTTCATCAGAGACAGTAATAGTAGATGTTTTATGTGCCCAATAACACAATTTAGATGACAGGCTGCTTTGACCCTGCCTGTCAAGGCCAACCCAGACTCTGAAGGATGTTCGAGCAGGTAGATAGAGACAATATCTAGCATCTGCGTTTGTTGCCATTTTTTTCTCCAAAAGTGGCCACGAAAATGGCAAAAGTTGCCATAAAAGTTGCCTTTAATTTTTAAGCTTTCAACTCTCTCTGACGGTGTATATAGCAATACGTTGATAAAGGCAACTTAATCTAAAGCACCAGAATTTCTTGTGCTCTGTCTTAAGCATCCAGAATATCATTTATTGCCCCATAGAGTGTAAAAATGTGAAAAATGAAGGTTTCACAAACAGAATGAAATCTAAATTAGAAGAGCACATAAACAACTACACAAAGTTAACAAATAAGGGCGTGTGTCCACCTATCCTAAGATTGGCAGTTTTACCCCTAAACATGTGTAATTCAAGAAAAAGTACATGATATTACATGTAAATTATGGAATCACACACAAGGGGCCTACCACTGCCAGTTTTCGGGTTTGGCGGAGACACGACGCTCTAACGTAACACATTTATATTTTTTTTAAATGTAGGAACAACCTCAAATTAAATGACATTACGCTAAATAAACACCAAAAAAAAAAAGAAGAAAAACAACACATCAGGATAAGGAAAAAAATTAACTCACCAACAAATAAAAACTCAACAAAGAAGAAAAAAATAAAAGACAAACAGCAAATATAGTATGTAATAATGTACCTACATACTCGGCATGAAAATAACTATACATGGGCACCTTAAAGTTATCAAAATTATACATCTCTAATATATGTTATGGGGTAGATTCTAGCCTTTTTTGTTGAAATATGCAAAATTCGCGGACCAAATAATGCCATAAATCATGGCCGCGACAAACGCAGATGCTAGCAATAAAAAAACCCTCCCTCACAGGAATTGAACTGATGTCTTCAGCGTACAAATGGAGCGTCTAATCGCTACACAGCATGTTGGTCCTCACCAGAGATAGCACATTAGAGCATTAAATAACCTAACACTATGGAATAGGGTCATGTAGAAAGGCATTTCCAATCACCAACTTCATCATCATCATCAGAGCTGTGTCTGCTGCATAATGGATTTCTGATAATTGCCACAGTAGTACCAATTTGCTGATCTTGACTGACAGTCAGTCCCTCTGCAAGGGGCTGCTGGGCAACAGCTCGGACATGAATGATTTGCGCCGAAAGTTCAGTGAAGCCAGAACCACAATAATAATCCAGTGGATTCCAAGCCATGTTGGAATAGAAGGAAATGAGGCAGCAGACCAAGCTGCTAATGAAGCCAGAGAGATTGAAGGAGACAGACGACCAACAAAGAGGAGTCTTTCCAATGATCAAGAGGGAAATCAGAGACCCACCATGTAGAACTAAGTACCAGCACCTGGAAGATGTGTATTCTGGGTACTCCTATAAGCGGGAACAAAAGTCTATCACATGTCGCTGGGACCAGGTTGAGCTAGCGAGACTGCAGTCGGACCATCATTGGAGTTTAAGATGGTATAAGAACTTAGTAAATGAAGAGCTCAGCCCATGTTGCCGAAGATGCGGCCATGAAAAGGAAGATGTCAAATATAATGTTTGAATGTCCAGGAACAATGGCAATTCGAATGGAGTTATTTGGACGAGTGGAGGTGCCGCTAAGCATATTGACAATGGAGCCGAAAAAGAGCCTCGCTCTCGCTCGAAGATTTCTTCGCGGAGTCCGTCAGGCCCATTAAGGAAACAAACAAAAATCATCATCATCATCAATTCCTTTCACCCCTTGCAGGGTATAGGCCACATATTATATACAAGCTCCTTCCATTTACACCTGTCCTGGGCCATCCTTCCAAGCTCGTTCCAAGTGAGCTTCATCTCTCTCGTGTTCCTTTCCACACATCTCCTTCATGTTTCCCGTGGCCTACCCCTGCCTCGTGCTCCTTGTGGGTTCCACTGCAGTGACTGTCTTGTGATGTTTCTGTGCTGGACTTTCTTTAGGTATGTCCCATCCATCGCCACATTCTTAGTCCTATTTCTTCATATATATATATATATATTTATATATATATATATATATATATATATATATATATATATATATATATATATATATATATATATATATAATCCTTTAGTCCTGTCCTTTCCCACAGCTCTTCATTTCTTATTCCATCCTTCCACTTAATTCTTAGAATACTCCTCATACATCTGTTGATGAAAGTCTGGACTTTGGGTGGTGGTTGGCGGGTGCTCTGGTTTGGTTTGCTCCTTCGTTTCCTATCAAACATCTATCGTCTTTATCTCACCTCCGGAACTGATTGTTAAAAATAGATTTATGTAAAAAATATAATGTATAAGGAGCATTCAACAAGTCTTTACCCCGACTGTGAGGGAATTATCGCACAATGATGAAACTTGAAAATGATTTCTATCTTTCTAGAATGCTGCATGTATAGTTTTGGGAGAAAAAAATGAGCATTGTTTTGAGAACAGTAAATGAACCTTGCATTTGAATAGCAAAAGATAATATATTTAGTAAATTCTGTAAATAGATCTATATATCTATTAACTCTTATTTGCCAGGAGAATCACACGCAACAATTTTGGCAGACATGTTAAGTGTTTACCTTGCTGAATGAATACCCTTTTAATGAAATTGTTCAATTTTGGACAAGGAAGTTCAAAGACTATCTGTCTGTTTTTGACGGGCCACAAGAAGGGCGTCCAATCATTGTTGTTAATGAAGAACGTGTGGGTCTAGTAAAGAAACTGGTAGTTGAAGATTGAGAATTAACTGTTAAACAGTAAGCAGGGGTAACAGAAAATGAACATAGTCTCTATTGAAATGGTTCTGCATGACCATCTTCACATGTCAAAGGTATCGGAAAGACGGGTTCTTCTTAAACTTAAATTAGAATTGGATGATACCCAATTCTTTGACTATACTATACAAGTAGAAATTGGCAAAACAAGGGCTATCATTTCGTTCCCCCCAAAAGATCCTGTTCCATGCAGGGGAAAACTCCATCCCATCAATCAACAAAGAAAGCAAATGTGCAATCTTCACGTGGAAAGTTTTTGGGACACTAAGGATGTCATCATGATATAATATTAAGAAAATGGCAATACTGTCACTTTGGACGACTGGAGATCCTATTTAGCGTTGTTCATGAAACTACAATCTGCCTTGGCCAAGAAAAGACAAAAGAAGCTGTGAAAAGAAATCCTTCTTTCTGTTGCAAGACAATTACCCAGCACAGAGAGATGAAGGCAACTCGGGCAGGGGGGAAGCAAAGCAGTGTGGCTATGAAATTCTTCCACGCCCAACTGGATATTGCACCCTTTGACTGTGACTCTTTACTTTCCCAAATCTAAAATTAAAAAGTTCTCAAATACAGCATTTCCATCATTACGAAACTATATCTTCAGTGGAGGAATGGTTTGAGTCCCCCCGTCCAGGGTCATATTATTATTTTTCTTTATCTTTTGAAGGTCAAAGCAAGATGGTAAAATTTGTATGGTCAATCTGCACAGTGACAAGTAAAATAGCATTTTGAGCGTGGAATCAAATTTTCACTTTCTCACTAGTAACTTGCTTTTTTTCAGAGTTAAAAGATAATGACTTATTGAAAGCCCCTCTTCTAATCTAACAAGAGTGATCACTGTCACCGGCCACATTATGAATGAGCATGTCAGAGATGAGAGATCACACACCTTTATAGCATAGAATACTACAAACTAAAACTAAAGCTCACAAAATTTCAGCACTTCAAAAAGGGGAGCAATATGGCAGCAAAGTAAAATGAGGATGGGGTTACTACAGTGGAACTCGGATTTAACGAGCTCGGATTCAACGAGAACTCGGATTCAACGAGATGAGATAGATTCCCTGTTTTTTTCCTTCTTTAAAATCAATAAAAGTAACCCGGATTCAACGAGCACTTAAATCAGCGAGCTTGGATTCAACGAGGTCGCTTCCAGGGTGAACAGCCCCCGCAGACGTGGCTTCACCAATTTTTCTCCCAGAACAAACTTTATCTATTCCCAGAAACCACCCATTGCATCTGCATCATGAATCATTATTCACTTTGCCAATTGCATGCGACCAATCAGCGGCCTTTTTAAATATCAACACATGTGTTGTTGGCACGCGGATGTGTCTACTCTGGCGTGTGTCGGGGTCGGATGAATGGCCTGCACACGTGTGGCTGTGTGTGCCTGTGGGGGAGGGGGGGGTTGAACGTCGCATATACAAACGCGTCGGTCTTTTTCCCCCCGGCAACTGATCTTTATTACAATAATAAGCTAGTCTAGTCTTGACGTAGATCTACGTAATGAATTGTGCGCTGGTCTATGGAATAAAAAGTTGCCGTATGCTCAGCTCTACACAGCAACACAACTTTTTCTTGGTAAACAATCGAGATGACACAGGCTTGTGTATTTGAACGAATCGGTCTTTTTTTTTACACAGCTCATAATATGCCGGCATTTCAGGCACTACTTGTGACTTCTCTTTATACATTAACTTGCTCAGTGCCTGTAATTATCTACACAAAACCTTGTGTTTGCTATAACGAACACTCGGATTCAACGAGATTTTAGGTCAGGCCCAACGACCTCATTGAATCCGAGTTCCATTGTATGCAAGAGATCAGGAAGACCAATTATGAGGTTTTAGAAAGTTCTCAGGTAAAGCATGCAAGTGGTGTTTTTATGTCGTTATGGAGGATGAGGAAATAGAAGACAGATGAAAGTGATGATTCTTTATGAATGTGACAGACTCAAATGAGAGCAGAGGATGAAAAAAAAAAGAAAAAATGAAAATACAAGGTTCTCAAATTATAGAGCTTTATTATCATTTCGTATTCTCAAATGGTACTGCTGATAATGATGCTCAAATCCAGGGTTTTCTTTGGATTAAACAATCAAACAATACAAAAAGAGCTTTCAAAAAGGGAAAATACATATCACATCAATGTCATCAGATATAATAGTACAATGAAATTGACACTGACACTCACGGCTTTAGTCAAATCAACATCTTTATATTCAGAAGCAAAGTTCAGCAATTTGCCATGAACTTTAAATACGACTGAAAAACAAATGTTTCTTATCAATTTCCCCTTTTTCAAATCAGTAATTATTAATGCAAATGCAGGGGCATAAGACTTGCTCATTCTAAGACTAAGAGATGAGACTACGATATTGCACAGCTTTTTTTCTACAAGTCAGAATATAAAGATCCGTTTACCACAAAAATAACAGATAATAGACTTCTTTTGTTGTAATTTTTAAGCTAAAGTAAAAAAATTCATTCTTCATAGTTCTTCAGCTATGTAACAGTGTTGGGTATCACTGGAACAGAAGAAATCAATGAGATTTCATTTTGTTCGTCAAGTGCTGTTAGAAATAGAATAGAACATTACATAATCTAAAAACGTGAACTTCTGGGGTCTCTCTTTCTTTATCAGTTGTATTCCCCCTCCTCTCTCTTTCACTATCTATCTCTCGCATTCGCATCACCTAATCATTTGTGATTCATCTTCACCTCTCCCTGTTTCACTCTCTCTGTATCCTTCCTTTTATCCACACATTAACCAGAATCTTCCTTTCCAATTTTTATTCAAACAAACATGCATAAGTAAGCAAATTTATAACTGTCCAATTTGCTTGCAGAGACAAGAGTGACTCTCTAAACTCCCTTTCCTCGGCAGAGCCGGCATATCTGTCAAGACGCTGCAACTTGTGACAAGGGTTCCTCCAGGTACGTGGCCATTGCTGCAATCTGAAAAAAAAACCCCAATACAACTGAGCTAAACCTCTGCCTACACCTCACACAATTTTCTTTTCCGGAGGGTGTTTTATTATTATTTTCATCATTATTATACTCTTTTGATTTAAAATAGTAATTGACTCTAGCAGAGGCGAGCACATGAAGGAAATTTTATCAACATGAGTAACCATTTGTTCACCTCTATGTAAGGATATTAGACCATTGGTCTGATGAGGAAAAACGGGATGATAATCAGGGGCGATGGCTGACAGGTTTGACAGGGTAATCAAAGTGAGACAAGGAACTAGATAGAAATGTCACACAAAAATCTTACTCGAGGCACCGACACCGAGTTGTGAATGAAAACAAATCCTGAATTCATATTGTACGGTCAACGCCAAAATAATCGGGAAAGTATCTCATTAAATATTTATTCCAGGTAACACTAAATTTAACAATAGATGTGAATACGCAAACAAAAACAAAGAAGCAGTGATGTCACAATACTACAAGTAATACATGACAATGATCAACTTCTGATTTCAAATTTGGGTGTTTTTGTCTAGCTTTTCGCAGCCATAATCCAGGTCATAATCTGATTATAGAACGTTAAAAAGTCCAGGAAAAAAAACAAGCACTCAGAGCAGTCATGAGATTATTAGGAGTTAGTTCCTCTCATCTTTGTGAGGTAGAATCGACCCGTGTAATAGTTAGCTTACATAATCAGTGCTTGTGACTGCTTATGGCAGTGGCTCGAAAGGGGTGAACAGGGTACTTATGTGGCAATGAAACAGTTTTGAGTGTTGTGCACATGTTCCCTTCAACTCTTTTGGTAGACTCTTCCAGTCTCACTTTATTAAGCTTACATAATCAAAGCTTGCGACTGCTTATGGAGTGGCCCGAAAGAGGTGAACAGGTTATTTATGTGGCAATAAAACAGTTCTGAATGTTAAGCATATACTGTTCATTGGTGATTATGTATGTCTAATAATAATAATGACAACTGCAGTTTAGTGCATATCCCTGCTCTACAGCCAGGGTCGGTAAAAATAAAAAAAATCGATTTTTTTTATTTAAATCAGATTTTTTTTATTTAAATCGGATTTTTTTTATTTTTTTTATTTTTTTAAAAATGTCGACACAGTTTGGGATTTTTGGTGGCTAAAAGTATGTTCTTTTAGTGCAAAATGCATTGTCTTTATTTTAACTAATGATTAATTTAAGAAACTGCAATTTTAGAAAGCCTTAATCTGCTATATCAGTGAATTATGGCTACAGACAAAAAATGAAGAAAATGTCAGTCTAAAAGGAAGGGGGGGGGGGGGGGTAATTATGCATTGATAAACTTGCATTTTATTTTTATTACAGTGTGTGTGTGAGCACGCGCTTGTGTTTGTCTAAAAAGAAAAAGAAAATGCTAATTTCAATTATGAAAAAAAAGTAAATTGAATACTGTATTATTTTACTACTTACAGTGACAGGGAGGGAAGCAGACTTTTAAGCAATTTTAGTCTACTAAACCTTATATCTGTTTTATAAAACCAAGGAAAGGAATTCTGAATGTTTGAAGACGTAAAAACAGAAAACATTTTTTTAAAGTGATTTAAATCACTGAGTTTTATTTTTTTAAATCAAGTTGATTAAATTTTTTTAATCAACTGATTTAAATCGACCCTATTTAAATCAACCCAACCCTGGTTTTCAATTATGAAAAAAAGTAAATTGAGTACTGTATTATTTTACAGTGACAGGGGGGAAAGCAGACTTTTAAGCATGATTATATTAGTCTACTAAACCTTATATCCGTTTAAAATAAAACCAAGGAAAGGAATTCTGAAAGTTTAAATATGTAAAAACTGAATACATTTTTTTGAAAAGTGATTTAAATCACTGATTTTGATTTTTAAAATCAAATTGATTAAAAAATTTTAAAAATCAACTGATTTAAATCAACCCAGCTCTGATTTCAATTATGGAAAAAAAAGTAAATTGAATACTGTATTATTTTACAGTGAAAGGGGGGAAATCAGACTTTTAAGCATGATTATATTAGTCTACTGAACCTTATATCTGTTTTATGAAACCAAGGAAAGGAATTCTGAATGTTGAAATGTGTAAAAACCGAATAAAAATAATTTTTAAAAAAAGTGATTTAAATCACTGATTTTTATCAAAAAAATCAAGTTGATTTAAATCAAAAAAATCAACTGATTTAAATCAACCTGATTTAAATCAACCCAACCCTGTCTACAGCAAGCTCTATGAACTTTATAATTATAATTACCCCAGCAGACCTTTTGGACATGGAAACATTCTCGACATCCCAGGAAGCATACAGTGCAAGCAGCTGATTAAGCCTAAGCTTAAAAATTGACAAGACTTTTCAGTCTACAGCTGGGTACTCATTTACATCTGGGCGTGGTGTACTAAGGAAAATTTGGGTAAAGTGCCTTTCCCAAGGAAAAAATGTCAGGGTCCCTCAAGGGTTTAAACTCATAACCATTTGCTTTGAGCCCAACAGCCCAACAACTAGACAAGCGACGCCATAGGATGTTATTTTTCACAGTAAGTAGTAATTTGTAGATCATGAAAACACAGCTGTTTTTAATTGATTTTAGAAACAGTAAAGTTCCTCAGTCAAAAAGTGGTCATGATGCTGTTAGCTTTTTTTAAATATACAAGACAATATGTGAGCTAACGATTAATCTAGATCTAGGTTTTTCTTATAAGTTGCCAACCAAAAAAAAAAGCTTTTTTTCTCAGAATCTTTAAATTTTCGAGCATAGTATTAGTAGGCACAACTGAGAATTTTTTAATTACTGAACACTCACTGTCTCTGCTCAAAAAGAGTGCAATGTGGCTACCAAAAAAAAAAGCTTAAAATAGTACATTTTTTCCATTCTTGTGTCTCACTGTAAATAATATGAAAGTTTTGAAGACCAACAGGAATTTTTTTTTTGAGATATTCATACGTCAGGTTCTTTTCAAGAGAAAACTACAGCAACTTTTAAAATTAAAACACTTTTAACTCATTTTGAGATTGTTACGTCTCAAACATAACACAAAACAAATACATCTTTAGACATGATATTGAGAGGAGAAAAGAACTGAAAACATTCTACATTATTTTGCACTATCTGCCTTTTCTCTGGAGTGACACCAAAGACCAAAACATAAGTTTTGATGATTTCAAATTTAGAAAACAACAATCGCATGCAAATGCCGCACTGTCACTCACCTATAGTATATATCTAAAAATCAAAAGGAAAAGTTACTTATCAAATTTATACATTTTGTTACAGAGGACCTAAATGAGGTACCACAAAACAAAATTCAAAACCAAAGTATATAATATTTAGGCCTACCTTTGCCTTCAAAATTCCAAAATTCACACCATCTTTGGCACACAAGCAAAGCAATAAATTGGCAACTTTGGTGATGGCCACTTTTCCTTGCTGTTTTGATGAAAAAAAGAAAGAAAATATTTATTTTTTTTTATTACAAAAGAAACAAAACAATGCAACATCATTTTCTTTATGTAAAATTATGATACAGTTGAACCTGTTCATAATGGTCACTAAAGATTTCAGTGAAATATGACCATTATAATAGACAGGTAACCACAAAGGATAGAGTGTTATGGTCACTTACTAGACTTGACAAAGTCAAGAAGGTTTAAAATCTGAAATTTTTTTCTTGACTCTATCTTTCCATTTCACATCCATCAAAATTATTATCATTTAATCATTAAGACTTCTTTGCATTGATTGAATGTTCTACTCAGTCTGAAGACAGGATGGCAGAAAAGCTTTGTAGCAAGTGACTGCTATGAGCAGGTTTTGTGGCCAACTTGTCAGGATAATGACTGATTCTGACAGTACATGACATGGAACATTATGGACAGGTTAAAAATATAGCCAAAACGCAAGGGCATCACGTATCCGTGGCTGTTAGTACAGGTGACCATTAAGGCAGGTTTTGAACGAAAAGATGACTTCTTCTATTTCACTCTTTAATATATATATTGCAACATCAGAAATCCTCTCAAATGCAGAGATCCATGGGAGGGGATCCAGGTGACACTCTCTCTGGCTGTGTGGTTCTTCTTGGATGATCTTTATAAGATGAATCCTGGCAAACACAATACATTCTTACTTCTAAAATTTAATCCTTATTAATTCAAAGATGCTCTACTTTCCAACAAATTAAATCCACTTCACGTTCTTCAAAGTCAGTAATACGTTATATTTTATTATCAAGTAACGACTACAATTCATACCTCACACTCAACCAAAACACAATCCAGCTTGCTATCATCCAAGGAAATCTGGCCACTTCTCTGAAAAGATGCCCATATATTGCTAGCAATAGCTCCCGAGGCTGAAGCGTCTTTGTCGCCAAACCCAGAAAATGCCAACAATGAGCCCTCACTGTTCAACAGCCTGTAACAAGAGAAGCAGATCCTTTTTATTTGAATCTCTTCAATTTGTAATGAAGGTCATCCACATGACTTACCTCACTTCTACCCTTGACCAATTTTCCAAAGGGGTAGCCATCTTTGGAGAACTGGCACTGTGTTCGTTTGGTTTGTGCGATGCTCATAGGTGCTCAATCGGGAAATTCCTAAGTGATTGTTTTACAAGTGTGTGTTTACAGGATGTGAAAATATTGAACAGTGTACAAATTGCAGCTAATTCCAGTTTTCCGTGGGACAGCCCTCGTATTTTAGGCCTACTTTGTAGGTAAAGCTCCTCTTGGGGACATAACCAGAATGTGCATGCTTCATCACTAGGCTGCATAAAAAACTACAAAGCAACAAGTTATAATCATGGATGGGAAAAAATTGTTGGTCAGTCGGGAAGAGGAAGAAGAAGAAAAAAAAACAACCTTCCATTCGGCCATCAGAACTTCAAACAATGAAAGGTAGAGCTTGACATTTAACACACTATGTTTTATTTAGCACAGGCACTAATCGCAAAGCGGAGTTTTATTTAGCACTGGCCTAATCGCAACGCAGCTTTGCAAATAGATTCTAGGCACTTCCATAAAACATTTTTTTCGGACCCGAGTCTGAATAGATAAAACCCATGTTCAGACTCGAGTCCGAATACAGCTGGCCTTTGCATTTATGTTGTGTTTCCTCCTCCCCCCCCCCCCCCCCCCGCCTATGAGCATACAATAGTGGTAGTAGTAGATCTAGATCTAGATACGGATCGCTGCGTTTCTGCTTGGGTGCGTAACCCCCGGTCTCCCGCTTTGTTTTGGATAAGAACAGCGAAAACAAGGTCACTTTCTGAGATCATGCATAGAATGCAGCTTATTTCCCTTTTGTTTTGGAGGTTCCTGTCAACACACGCGGTTCTCCGGTGTCGGAAAATTTTGCCCCTTCATTTTGATTGTTTTCGTAACCGGTATCGGTGAATTTACTGAGTGCTTGAGTAGTCGATTATTTAGCATATCTAGTTAATCTAGCTCTAATGTATCGTAGAATGTATCCCCCTACTATCGCAGGCTGCTTCTTAATGCCCAGGAACATGCCAGATAGGGTTGAGCACCGGTGCAGACAAAATTTGTTCTGTCCGTTTAAGTGCGCAATATCGCCTTTTTTGCTATTTGGCATTGATAGTGTGGCTTCTAAGCCCTTTGGTTGTTTTACTTTAAATTTCTTTATGACCTGCGTTGCGCACTGAAACAGACTGTTTTCATTCCGTTTGGATGCATTATATTGCCATTAGAAGATGATCAGAATGTATTCATGTCAAAATGAATTAACATGGAAATTTAATCTCCAAAATGTTCAATTTCTTCTTTTCACATCTTTTTCTTCTTCTTTTTTGTCCTTTTCCTTTAAGAATACTAGTTTAGGTCCTGTAGAGTCTAATTCTTGTTTTCTCCTTTCACCTGCTTGTATCCACAGCATCTTTCTTTTTATCCATTATCAAAACACATACATACAAGGAAATCTCCAGTTAGGGGCGCACAGCTCCCAAAAAGAACACGCCTCATTGACCTTGGCCTTCCGTTCCCAGCAGTTCAGGAACTTTTTGCAAGGAAAAGAAGACAAGGCCAGGATAGAGAAAGGCACTCCTGTACAATAGCGGTCCCGTTAGATTTAGCACTAAAGCACACAAGCAAAGACTACTGGATATCGATACTGATTTTAATATTCGGTATCGATGTTTTATCACAGTAGATCTAGAAGCCTACAAAATGGGTAATAAAATTTCACTTGTAAAGTATTTAACCAGGCAAGGTGGGTTTCAGGGGACCATAATTTGATGTTTAGCAATTAGGTTTGATTGGTTATCTCTCTATAGGCCTATTGGCACGCGCATCAAAATCAAAAAGTAATCGTTTAGAACCAGAAGTAATCGTTGGTTGGGTCAAAACGAGTATCCCTAAATCAAAATGGGACCGCAATTGTACAGGAGTGCCTAGAGAATGTGCTACACCGTAGAGAGAGGAAGGCAGAGAAGGAGATGGGAGGACAACATTAAAGAGTGGACAGGAAAGACGATGGGTGACAATCTGAGGAGAGCAGAGGACAAAAATAGATGGCGAGAGCTGGTTTTCCAATGCAGTGGTGCCCCAACGGTTGCCCCAACCACGGGATAGAAGAAGCCTAGAGAAAGATGAAAAGTGTCGCAAAAGAGCTGTCTATATCTAGATCTAGATCTAGAGCTGTAAACAACTAAACATGGTACTATTGTGCACTCAACCAGACAATATGTTGCACCAAAACAGACACCTTGCGCATCATCCAGACACACGTTACCAAACAAACACCACCACAACATATAGGAATTTTATACTGCTGGATTTTGTAATGTGCTACACCGTAGAGAGAGGAACGCTTTTTAACTTCTGGAGAAAAAATTATGAAGATCGTTTATGGTATAGCGCAGTACCAGAATAACTCTAGAAAATCTAGATATCTAGATCTAGATCTAGATCTAGTAGATCTAAATCTAGATTTTTCTAGATCTACATCATCAGAGTAGATCTAGTTTTATAATGTAAATGTCAAGCGCCATTTGCCGATCAGCGCGGTCTTAAGATCATGGCGCAGAACCATATGACGATCCGCAGAAAGCGCGGCCATTTCGAGATGGGCGCGACGCGCCATCACACACAAACAAACGACTTTGCAAAGTTCACAAACAAAACTCCGCAGAATTGCACAATCGTTTGTTTGTTTGTGTGTGTGTGTGTGTGTGTGTCTGTGTGTGTGCGTGTGTTTGTATTTGTATGTTGTTTTAGCGTGTGCATGTTGTGGTGTGAAGTGACTTTTATCTATCTTGTGTATATATAACAAAAGATATACCATAACAAAAGGAAGTGGCTATTCTCATCCAGGGTGAGAATAGAAATACGATCGACCTCTCACCCCGGGTGAGACTTGCGACCATAGGCTATTCTCACCCGGTTTGAAACAAGACCTGTTTTTCCTAATTTCGGAATACTTTCTATCGATGTGGATGATCAAATGGATAAAGTAAAGGCAAAGAAAAGGTTACGTTATAGCACAAAAGTAAGCTAATTTTATCGACTACAAAGATGCTATGGCTATTTCACTTTTCGAATCGAGCTGAACAACGGGGGTCGCCATTTTGTTTTGCCCGGAAGTTCTCGCAAGATCTACTCCTCCCCTCTTCTCTCTCTCTGTCTCTTTCTGAATACTGTCTATCGGTGTGGACGATCAAATTGACCAAAACAGAGTTAAAAAATGATGTTAAAACACAAAAGTAAATTAATTTGGTTGTCTACAAAGATGCTACGGCTATTTAGCTATTTAACTTTTCGAATCGAGCCGAACTACGTGGGTCGCCATTTTGTTTTGATCGGAAGTTCTCGCGCTACTCCTCTCTCTCTCTTTCTCTCTCTCCACTGCCCACAGACAAAATTGTACGCTTTTAGTAGGCTACAGTTGTAATGGAACGTTTGTTCACGGCACAGAATTCTACAATTTTTCTGTTATCACAGTGTAGAATTCTGTGGTTTAGGGTGAATGCAAAATTTGTTGGCCTAGATCTAGGCTATACGGTGAACGCGCACCGGGTGAGAATAGCCAAAAGACTCGCCTGCACTATTCTCATCCCGGGTGAGAATAGAGGTGGCCATAACAAAAACCTCTCTCTCCCTCTCCCTCTTTCTTTGCCACTCTCGCCTCCAGATCTATGAGTGTGTAGGGGCCTAAATTGTAGAGATATCTATGTGTTTGTGTGTGTTTCCAAGCGATCAGCAGATGGCGCAGCGCAATTCTTGCTTGCTTTGCACAATCTTAAGATCGCGCAGCTCTATTCATTTTCGAAAATAATCCGTAGATGGCCGCGCTCTCTGCGGATCGTCATATAGTTCTGCGCCATCTTAAGATCACGCTGATCGGAAAATGGCGCTTGTTGACTTTGACATAAAAACACGGTGGGTTCACCAAATCAAAGTTAGTTCCGGCCAACAAAACTAAGCTAACAGCACCGCTACTTCTACGCAAAAAGACACGCTGAAGATGTCAACTACTGATCATCTGAAATTTCTGATGAATGTTCTACTCACAAAGTACTTTCAACACCTCCTGTGTTTGCCTGACTCAGAACCTCCGAAAGTGCTCGAGGTTTCAACATCTTGGTGTCCTTTTTTTTATCAAACTCAAACGACCCTTTATCAAACTCTACTGTTCAGAATTTTTTATTTAATCCCAGGCTTTGCCTTGCGTTCAAGCTTGAGATAGCTACGCCTGTCACCAGTACCTCTTTACTCTACACTTCAGGTCCGACTCGGGTGAGAGTAAATAAATTTTAATTATGAAGACTATAAAAAGCCTATTGTTGAACTACTGAACCCAGTGAACTGTGTGTTGTTTTGATTTACCCGGAAGCACCTGATACAACTCCCAGATTTCTACATCAGAAGAGCTAAAAACTAAAAACTAAAAACCAAACGTTGAAATATCGGCGTAAAAATTACGGAGATAATATTATTAGCCTTGGCCAAGGAGCTTAAAACAAGCCTCCTTGTATAAGGCCCTCTCAAGGAAGCTACAGTAATGGAGGATGCTCTGTGGGCGGCACCGCACGCCTGATAGGAGCCCTCTCTCGCAGTGGAACTATGGTCTACCTGCACTGCACGACTGCCCGACTCACGCACTAAAAGAGAGAAGGTTTCATAATCCGAGGTCCTTGTAGTCAGTAAAAATGCCTTCCACCTGTGTTGTGTTTAAGTGTAAGAACCTAAGCTTACCAGCTTACTGAGGAAGCCTAGGTAAGAACCGACATGATGCTGCAGTGGACAGACGTTTTCACAGAGGTGTTATTTTCCTTTTTAAAAAAATCTAAATGAAAGTGTTTTTATGCCCCCAGCGACACAATTTGGATCATTAACATTTATTATAAGAGGCTGGCTCCGGCATACCTGCGCAGGCCAACCCGGGCTGAAAGGGATACAACACCCCAGTAGAAAGACAGAGATACTTGATTTTAAAAAATATTTTTTAATTCTT